AAGACTGTATACATATTTTTCATGGTAAGCAAATATTCTCAAAAGTTGATCTCAATCGTGCATATCACCAGATCCCTATCGAACCAGGCGACGTCCCAAAGACTACAATAACCCCACCATTTGGATTATTTGAGCTTACACACATGACGGTTTGATTGTGCAACGCTACACAAACTTTCCAAAGGTACATGCATTCTGTACTGAGGGACTTACACTTTGTTTTCGTCTATATAGATGATATCGTCGTTGCATCCGACAATATGAAGCAACAACAAATCCATCTTTGACAAGTTTTTGAACGACTTCGACGTTTTCATCTCAAAATAAACTCTAGCAAATGTCGTTTCGGTCAAATCAATCGAGTTTCTTGGTCATTTGATCGATCATAGTGGCATCAACCCATTACTAGACAAATTCAAAAACCATCATCAAATTTCCCATGCCACAGTCGTTGAAACTTTTTTTGGCAATGATTAACTTTTATCGAAGATTCCTGCCAAAAGTAATCACGTCTGGTACAATTAATAACGGGCAACAAAAAAAACGACTCAACTCCAATAACTTGGTCAGGTGACACTCTAAAACATTTGGAGGAATGCAAGCGTTTTCTAGCTGCAGCAACACTTTTGGTACATGCTTCAGATGCTCCATTATCACTCAGCACGGACCAAGCGATACAGCAGCTAGCGCTCGTGAACAATGAACTTCAGCCATGGCATTATTTTTTAACTTTACTTACTGACGCACAACGCAAGTACAGTACTTACTTTCGAGAGCTTCTTGCAATTCACCTTTTACTCAAAAATCTGAAAAAGCTTATCCACGTCGGCTGCAACAGCTAGATTTTATCGGACAATTCACGACATCTATTGTGCACATAGCATGTGTCGATAACATTAATGCTGACACACTCTCTCGCATCGAAACTATTAAAGCCAACATCGTTGACTACAGTAAGATTGCTGCTTCACAAGCAAGTTGTCCAGAGCTAAAAAAGCTTCTTAATGACAACACTTCCACACTTCAAATCAAATCGAACAACTTACCGCAATCAAGTACTCCAATCTTATTCGATTTTTCTACTTCCACAGTACGACCATTCATACCGCAGCCTTATCGAAAAAATATTATCAGCAAGATACATGGCATTGCCCATGGAGGAGTTGGTTCAACAAATAAACTCATCAAACAGCGCTTCGTGTGGCCTTGTATGCATAAGGATATAGCTCACTTCGTCAAACACTGCATCCCTTGCCAAAAATCAAAAGTCACGCGCCACCTTCATTCACCACTCCAACAATACACTCTGCCTTCACACAGATTTGAACACATCAATGTAGAACATTACCTCAATCATCGATCGCTATACCAGATGGCCACATGAAGGAGATATCGAGGATACCCAAGCTGAAACAGTAGCCACTCATCAACACATGCATTTCTCGCTTTAGAGTTCCAGCACGCATTACCACGGACCAAGGCAGACAATTTGAATCCAGGTTATTCAACGAGCTATCTCGCCTCCTCGTCATTGACCATTTACGAACGAACGCCTACTATCCACAAGTAAACGGAAACATCGAACGATCAAGGCAGCCATAATGTGTCACAACAGGATCGGCAACCTATTCTAGCTCGAGCTCTCTAGCCTTCAGCATCTACGAGCGCAGGTCAGGGCGAGATTCAATGCTGAACGTCCAGTGTGGGAAACCCCTGTATATTGCAAAATCGAGGCAAGAGGGACTAAGGCCTGCCTGTGGTGGGAACCTCGTTGGGCTGCCATTGGCTAAACATTTAAAGCGCGCGTCGTGCATGAACTCGGTGAGCTCACGTCCCCTGGCGTTGCTGCGTTCTACTCACCGCCTAATAAGCACTTTGGATCAAGGTCCGAAACGCTGGCAGAGCTCGTTGGCAGTCCATCTGAAGCCGGGCTGGCAGTATATGGCCCCAACAGCTCGACGTCTCCAGAAGCCGTTGAGACTATTGCAGAGGCCAGTTACACGTCGTCTTCGCGTTTGGGGGGCGGTGGGAAAGTCCGAGATACCACTGCGGATACGAATTGCGGCGCCACCCCAACGTCCCCAGTACCCAGGAATGTGGGGAATCTCCAGACCACGCATATGAGTTTCGCCTAAGAGTTCGATGTCTACCTTGTGGAGCTTCATGTAGAGTTGCAACACGTGGATTTTAGCTGAAACGCCGCCCGTGTTCCAGCACAAAACCCTGAGGGTGCTCATTTTGAGAGAAGCGCGCTAAGGAACTCGATCATGCGATTCAAAATAAGTTTGAAGCAAATCGGAAAAAAACTTAAAACTTGATCAAAAAATCGTAGAATCACAATTTTTACCGAGGAAGCTTTGATTTTGCGAAAAATGTGATACACGTCTCAAATGATTTTTGATATATCCTTGGAAATGAATTTGAGCGCGAAACGTCACCAACCAAATCTTTGACGCCCATTTCCACCATGGAGGGATGGATTTTCCAAAAAGTGCGAAACACCCCTCAAATTAATTTTGACAAAAATTGTTTGAGGCAGGTCGGATGGTAAACAAACAAGTTTTGTACAAACGTTTTTCGCATTTATCCACATTTTAACGTACACCTTTATTACATAAGGTACCTACAGTGAAAATTTCAGTCAGTCAGGACAAACAGTGTTATTATAGAGATAAGAGATTGAATCGTTGAAAAGGAATCATTTCAGCACATATATATTTGTTTTCGTTGTTATGATTAGGTCAATTTCCAGTCCCCAAAGCTTCCGTATTTATTTACATAGAAAAACTGTTCTAAAATTTCACCTAGTCTACTTTATATAAAAAATATATAATACGATTCTAGAACCTACTTGTCTAATTTGGTGACATTAGCTCTTATGACCTGAGAGATTTGCCCAAAAAACATGATTTCCATTTCGATTTTTATCGGTTGCTTGGAAACGGCGTAAGATATCGATTATCTTACTCGCGGGAACTAGATGACCTCCGTTCAAGTCTCTAGCTTTCGTAGGTTGTTATATAGACGCGTTCATATATACGGGCAAACGGACTTCGCTAGATTGACTCAGCTACTTATGCTGACCAAAAATATATATACTTTATGGGGTCGGAGGTGCTTCCTTATGCCGTTATTTAAACCATAAAATACTTTTTACCTATTTAAATTGTTTCAGGGAATAAAAAGCAAATCTTCTTTCAAACATTCTAGCATTGATGCTATGCAACCATTTACAGAAATACACAAGATTTTTGAGCAGCGGCTGAGCTTTTTTCCTGGATGGGAACCTACAAACTAGACTTGGCGCGTCTAGCTCTTATGTGTTCAGAGTTATGCTTGAAATATCGTCTCAAAATCGATTTTTGTTGATAATTTGAATGTAGAAAGATATCTATTAAAAATGATAAACGCGTTCTGCGTATAATATACGAGAAAGGGTTTAGGGTATAAATACTTGTTGCGGCTAGAAACACCCGCTAGTGTTATACATACAAAAGTTGATTGCTGCCCTAAAACCGTCCAATAATATGGTAATTCTTTAACGGTGCTTTTTATATTATATATAAAAATAATTGTTATCTTTGGTGTAAGAAAAAATATGCAACATCATTTTTCATAATTTTAATATTTGTGACTGTGCTCAAAGAAGCTATCTTAAAGCACTTAAATATTGAAATAGTAAATTATATAAATAATACATTAAAATCAAATGAATTACAAACTCTTTTAATATTAATTATGGCATTGAGTAACATTGAGTGGATAGCAAATACAAAGATGACAGTGAAAAATCAAAATCTTGAAATTTTATTACAAACTATTTCTTAAAACTTAACAGTAAAACTACAACTATTAACGATGCTTAAATATTTGATCATTTTGAAGATACTGAAGTATATACAAGCATACATATATAAGCATGTATGAATGTATATGTTATAAATTCAAAATGAATGAAGTCCAAGCAGTTTTTAAAATTAGTTCTTTACTATTAACTCGTATGTACTTATGTTTTCATAAAAGGGCGTATAGTTATTACAATAATATTTTTGGAATTAAAATGTACATGTGTACATATGTATGTATGTATGTGCAGACACTTACTTAAGGCTCATAGTTTTGTGGGGGAATTGGGACCGCAACATTATCTACAGTGGGCGAAATTTTAATTAAAAAAGTATTTCTCAACAAAAACCAAATGAAGCATTTATTTCCAGAATGTGTAGTATAAAATGCCTTACGCGTGCTCAAATTTGCGTTTCCGTCACATTGAAAGGCAACTGAGTATGGGGTTAGGGCTCGATGAAAACTAAAACGCGAATTATAACATTTACAAATTCAGCGAAAGTTAAGCGATTGTTTAAGATATCAACATAAAAATGCTTGAGCAAAATATTTTGATTTAACAAATTACTAATCGGCTAATAGAGTCAATGTATGTGCCTGAGAATTGCGTTATATTATTATTAAAAAAAAATAATTTGAATTTTGAGTTCCCACTATAAAAAATTATGTGAATGCGAAAACCATCATATGCCATTATTATTGTGATGGTCAAATAAATGTGTATATCTTCCGCTATTACTGAAATGTGCACCTCTGTTTTTTATTCGTACATTGTTAAGTACATATCACGCATTTACTTGACTACTGTCAAAACTTAAACAAATATACGATTTTTCAGGAAATACGTTGAATTTTTACCATTGAGTACCGCCTAGCAGAACAAATTTTAAATAAATATCTTCTCGATTGAAGAGTATACAAGATATAAATATGAAATTTGTACAATATATACATGATAGTCGCATTTTGTGACTTATGACAGTCTTCACGTGAATGAGCGACATGTATAGACTATGCATACTAACATATGTACATGAATTTAGTATTTGTACATAAATCAGAAATTGTTACTCTTACCGAGTTATAGTTTCCTACATTCGTACATACTTTAGTTTGTAATTCATACATACTTCATACATATGCAAATGTACATATACAGTGAATCACAGGATTTTATTTTTAGCTATCTTTAACAATCAATGACTATTTGAATTTAAGACTTCTATCTCCGTTGCTGCGCAAGCTTTATCCATAAGTTAATTTCGATATAGCATTTATTAAAACATTTTCCATAATTGAGTTTAGCTTTTTAAAGTATATAATTTGCAGTCCATTGTTGCCCCAACTTATTAGTTGTTTGCTAGTCCAGTTGGCGCAATTTAAAACTCTTTGTAACAATTGCTTGTAGTCTCAGTATACTTGCTTTGCTGCCTAGTCCCGAAAACCGTTTTTGAACTATTTGAACGAACTGTCGCCACCGGTGGAGCACATGTGGCCTACAGCACATTGGATTAGTGCAGACCATCCCAGTTAAACATAGCGCTGCCGCTGCCGTAAAGCAATTGGCGCCCACCGGAAGCTGAAACTGTCACCGCAGATGGCTAAAGTGAACTTCAATCCAGCAAGGGCAGCCCATAACATCCTGCCGCCTGTACATGTTACCCCAGCCCTTGGCAAAGCTGATCTTCATGCTAAATCGGTCGATAGGTCCCAGATGGGTCTGCTGCAACTGCTTTCCAGCCAGCCATTGAGCCCTGCTAAATAGGATATGAGTTAATAATGATTGTATTAAAGAACGGAGCTTACAAAAAATCTACTTCTGTGTTTCGAAGGCCTTGAGACAATAGCCAGGCATCACTTTGCAAACCCGGTCCAAGCGTTCGGCCAGCGTTGGCGAGTCCACGAATAACGGCACATTACTGCGATTGTATATCCAAACGTCACCATACTCTAGACTTAGAGTTAGGCCTATAACATAAAATTTAAGTTGTATTTGCACATTTAGTTAAATACGCACTGTTGGTACTTACCCAGACCGACCTTTTGACGCGTGCTTTGCACAGTATCCAACGGCCTTCTCTTCCCACTCAATTCACGCAAGCACATGCTCTCTCCGGCGCAGTCGACTGGTCCATCATCGTATATATTGACTGCTGACTTCCTGGCGTGAAACAGATCACCAACGCGCTGAGCCAGTTCCCAATAGGCAATCTGACACCATACCCAATTGGTAGCGTTTCGATCTAAAATTGATAGAACATAGCTTTGTATTAGTTCTATTTCTAGAGAATAAAAGGCATTTTATGTGATATGTGATAAAAGGCATTATGTGATAAAAATTGAAAAACCCGTATTTGTATATCAAGCTCTAAAAAATAATTTTTATCTTTTTAAATACTGCTTGTCCGAAACCCCTGCCGAGTTTTAGAGGGTGTGCAGTCGAGTATGGAGACGATTATATGGAATTAATTTAATCTATTATATAAATTTATCAACACACAGTAGCCAAAGCGGTAGTAAAAAATTGTTGGTTGTAATTTATTTTTATTGACAATCGTTACAAAGATAGGGTATGTTTGACACATCTCTGTATATAAAATCTTGGCCTGACGCACTGACTTGTGATCACAGCCAAAACTGCAGGCTAAGACAGGATGCAAGTGTGGAAAAAAAACAAAAAAGGATTGTATAAAAATTTTTTGTTTAGCATCCAATCGACCGTAAATTCATTGTCAAAGTTTCTTGTTTCATTTTATTTGAGTGGTGTTTCACAATTGCGATTTTTTTTTTTTGGAACAATTTTTAATTAAATTTGTAAAAACATTGTAAAAACATAAGAACTTAATTAATCGATTTTGAAATTTCCACCTGCAACTATGCTAAATTGCCGGAAAACGGTTGTAAAAAGTTTGTTTGTTTACCATTCGTAGAAATAAGATGCCATGAAATTTGTAACGAATAGAACGAGACAACTCCGACCCAATAAAGTATATTCTTGATCTACATCAACACTTTAGTCGATACTGCTAAGTCTGTTTGTCATATTTATATGCGAACAATGGCAAAGCTAGATGGGTAATCTATTTTGTTTAGGTTTTTAACTTAGTTTCAAAACTGTTAATAAAGTCTTAATTAGAACGTGTTTTAGCGATTTTGGAAACCAACCGCAACTATGGTGAATTGGCGGAAAACGGTTGCATGTTTAGGATCTAATGGGCTACTCCGCCTTAGGTTAAATATTCAGGTCAAAAATAAATAAACGAAAGATTATTTGACTTCAAGCTTCACACTTCTGAATTAAAATGGATGACTTGAATCTAATTTTTAATTGTTTATGTTAGACATAGCCTGAAATAGATGAAAAATTTTAAATTTTAAAGTGGAAAATGTGCTTAAAAGTGACTTCTAACATTTGAAAAAAAATCTTGCCATGAACACGATTATGCGCACTTTATAATATCACTTAAATATGTATGTAATTCAGTTTAGTGCTAAGCATTTGATTTTGTTTAATGACTTTATTGTTAAAGCCCAATTAACTTCAAATTCATAAATAACCTGATTTCAATATACATCTTATACAAATTAGAGTGTGTACGTACTTAACAACCTTGTTATTTTACTACATATGGAACTTTCAACAAACATTTTAATTCTTATAACTAACAAGGAATTGTTCCAAGTTTTGATAAAAAAAAATTAAAAGGCTAACAATTTGAACTCGAGCTCGACTTCTAAACAACCTCCTAAGATTATCATGAGTAAATAAGAGTTTTTAAAGGATAAACCCATTGGCAACTGCCATAAGGTATATATATTCTTGGTTAGTATCAATAACCGAAGTCCGCCTGCGTAAGCGCGACAATGTCAGAAACTACAAGAACTACGCGCCTCCACGCGCAGATCAAGTCTGTTTCAAATCATATCGAATAGTAAGAATTGGTTGAAAATTGATATGTATAAAAAAATTCCAAATAAAAATAAATACTGTATAGAAATATACCGAACATCTGATATATGCGAGTTTGCAAGGTTTTTTAATCGCGGGCACACCAATCCAACCTATTCTTCCGTGATATTTAACTTAACCAAACAATCCGAACTAATTGCGTTTCATACAACTTAGCCAATTTTTTGTACAATGGTGAAATGATCATGTAAATTTTTACATTTTATCATGCAGAGCGCATGCAAATCTAATCGAGCGGCAAAGGTTTCTCGTATACTATTCGTATTCAACCGTGCCTCAATCTCATCACTCGATCAATCTCATTCACAGATACCAATGCAGTTATTTATATAGTCTTTTAATGGCAATAATTTTGGCGCCCCATCGTTACGTAATGTGCCTTTTGGCTTTCGGATGCCTATAAAACGGCTGGCTAAAAGCACAACGAGCATAACGTATTCTTATTTATGATCAAAGTCTAGGCATTGCCCAATAAGGAAAATAAATATTAAGTAAACTGTATTAACTACATTTAAACCGGTATTTATTGAATTTGGTGTAGATAGTATGTATGTATATATAATATAATGAAGTTTTTCATGCAATATTTATATTTATTATTTTTTTTTCAACATCTGTTTATATCCGACATATGAAGTGCATGCTGTTATCAAGATAGTTTTAAATTTGTTACTTATTCGACAAGCGTTTGAATGACCAGGTGTATAGCACAAGGAAGCGGTTATCTTTGGTACGTCGAAGATAAAGCACCCTTGTGGAAAATTGGAGGATTGCAACATTAGCATCTTTAATCGTTAGACTTCTAACTCAATATTAAATATTTATGTAAAATCTAACTTTCCATATTACGGCTTTAAGATAGTACGGGTTGGAAAACTCAACCCGCTAGTGGACAAAAGAGGTGGTCAAAGTTAATAAGACAAACATAAAAACAAACAAGAGGTTCTAGTCGGGAGCTCTCGACTAGGGGATACCCTGAATCCTCTTATTCCAACACCAAATACCAATTGCTTTAGCAGTAATAAAGATAAATTAAAAAAAAAGTTCCTTTGGCAAGGTTCGAACTCGCAACTAACCGCACTACTTTCCGCCGCCTCTACCCAACAGCCAAACAAAAAAAAAAGTTCCCCCGGTAGTGTTCGAACTCGCTACAGACCACACTATTCGCCGCCGCCTCTACCCAACAGCCACACCAATACTTAACTGTTAATGAGAAAAAAAACCAATTAAAATAGCAGCACAGAAAACAATACAATCGTAATTGCAATGCAGTTGATAGAACTAAAAAAAACACGCATGAATGTGTGTGTGTAAATGTATACAGAAATTCTTGGAATTCGTGCTAGCTGCTGCTAACACGTGCGCACATAACTTTTTTGTTTCTTAACCGATCTTAATGAAATTTTCGTTAGTACATCTTATTGCACTATAAAATATTCGTGTATGCTTACAATGACAATTGCATTTAAATGGTGGCTTATATTGGCGGGCAGCACAAATTGGTTTGTTTACTTGATTTATAGCTATGACTTAGTAGCGTGGAGGTGGTGATAACTATAAAATAAAAGATATTTGATATATGTATATACATATACTATTCTAGAAGCTACATGTCATGTTTGGTGACTCTATTATTAACCAAAATTGCTCTATAAACAGGATTTCTATATCGATTTTTATCGATTACTTGGAAACGGGGCAAGCTATCGAATATCGGAAACAATCTCGATCTTCGCGGGCACTATGAGGACCTACAGGTTCTGAGATCCTTGCGTTCATACATACGGACGGACCTTCCTTCTGCCTGTTACATACATTATTTTATTCCACATTTTTCCTGCAAAATTTATAGTTAGTATCTAGGGTAATGTATCATTTGAATAAAGCATGCATTTCATGGATAAAGCAGAAGTACTTTGCGTCAATCGTAAGTTTACAACTTTTCGCTCAATGTTCTTCGAAAACGAAGCGACGCAAAGCACCATCGACCAGCTTTGCTGAAGGCAGGCTGGCGACTAACTTCGTTGCTTTTGGCTTTTGGAGAACGAATAGCCAGTCGGCAGGCATGTCGTGCAAAAACTCAAACGCCAGATGAAACGCCAGGCATGAAATTTTTCGTCGCATGCAAATGTATGGGCGTTACTCATCTTAGTGTTTATATTGTCTTTGGACGGACGGACGGACAGACAGAGGGACATGGCTAGATCGACTCGGCTATTGATGCTGATCACGAATATATATACTTTATGGGGTCGGAGATGCTTCCTTCTGCCTGTTACATACATTTGCACAAATACATTATACCCTTTTTACCCATTTTCAATGGGTTCAGGGTATAATAATTAAACTACTAGCGTAGTAGGCTAACCGTAGGCATATTCATCACGAATTTAAGGTTCGTGCTCACAGATAAGCGGAAGACTTTTTTAAATTAAAATTAAAATATATGATTGTTTTTAAAAAATGCACAAAAAAGGATTTTCTTCTGAAATGAAGAAAAAATAAATATAAGCAACGAAATCAGTAACTAGTTTCTTAGTTTGGTAACCCGACTGTGATTTAGGGTATACTATCTAAAATTAAAATAAAAATTATTCGATCTGTTGGAATTCAACTCGAGAGGTATCCAAAAAAATTAAATATAATTTATCTTTGTATGCTATACGTGGAACTAAATGTCATGAGATAAGCTCTATATTGATTTTTATCGATTGCGGTCAAACTGGGCAAGATATCGATTGAAATAAACTCGATCTGCACATACACTAGGACAAAACTACTTTACATTTTAAGTCTCCTGCACTTATAGATTCTGATATCGATGCGTTCATACAGACGGAACGACGGACATTCCTAGATCGACTCGGCTATCTTCCTTCTGGCTATTGAAACCATTTGCACAAAACCATTATGCTTTTTTTATCCTTTTTATTTATGAGATCAATAGTTTCAAGAGATAGAAAAAAATACAATTATTTATGTATCTGAACTAAGTGTAGGTCCGTATTTCTTTACAAGCAGTTCAAATGTCGAAACCCGCCGATTCAAACGACTCTGTTATATTGCTGATATGGGAATGATCGGTTGAAGTAGGTTCTTGTATGAAAAACCTTTTTTGTTAATCAAGATATCTTGCCCAAACTTGGCAATGACTAGTTTCACCATGCTCCTTACATATAAGTCAATATCGAACCAAAATGAATTCTACAAGAGTATATAATCTTCGGCGTGCCGAAGACGGACTTTCTTTCTTTTTTCAATGATTTGATATGAAATCAAATGACAGTAAACGAGAAGATTAGAATAATTACTCAATAATACACGTGTACAACTATCTTCCATAAAGATGCATGCGTGCAGCCGTATGTATGTACAAATGTATGTATCTGAATAAGTAGATATGCACAATGCTATTAATGTGCATACTAAAGAGTGTATGTATGTGTACAAATAATCAAATGTAATGTACGGTATATGCTGTATAGCTTTTGCAACTCAGCTATGATGGCGAGACGGGAGGGCACGGACCCGGTGGGGCTCTGCCATCGGCTCTGGCGCCGATGCCGCCTGCTCTGGCAAACGCCATCGAGGAGCGGTATTAGCGGGATCTTGTATTTGACTCTTTGGGATTCATAGCGCCGGCTAGGCGTTGTTTTGTATTTTTCAGTCAATCTGCATGCGTCGGTATATACATGCACGTAGCTATACATAAATACATAATTACAAACAGAAGTGCGCATCGACGAGCTACTACATCATATTTAAATTTAGAATGTTTTAAATTCTATCTATGTGTGTGTGTGCGCGCAGTGTAAATTGGTTAGTGACCACACATGTCGGTATTGTAAGTACAGATATGTTAAACATGTACATAAATAATCACGGGTACGTATTTATCTTACTATACGCATCTATACAGGTATATTTACTTTGAACCTCTTTAAAAATGGGTAAAAAGTTAATAATAGTTTTAAGCAAATAAATGTAACAGGCAGAAGGCGACATCTCTGATCCCATATCGTAACAAAGCACTTCGAAAGTACAAAAGCTATATACTCATAAGGGCGACATAATGTTTATATATATATTTTTATATATGCGATTAGTATACACACAAATTTCTTAAAGATCGAATTTGAAACACCAAAGATATTCAAGAATAAGTTTCCCATAGTGTAAGACAAGAGGAAGCGCTGCATAAAAGGAGCTCAAGTGGTGGGCGTGTGTGTATGTGTAGACCCTAGAAATTGTATTATGACATCTCAACGAATCACCTAAACGGCCACTCCTCACTAGAACAGTCTTAATTGTAAATAAGTTTGTAAATGCATCCATACTTACATTAGAATGTATAAGGACCAATAAATCTATCCATACAATTCCTAAACAAGTGTATAATAAAACAACAGGTACTGACGATGTTATTATTTTCCGCGCCGTTCTACTAACGCATGTAGTATAGGTCATACATATATATGTAGATATGTCACAAATATTTACGAACATCTGAATTCCTAAATATTTTTAGAACTAAAAATACTAACTCGTGGAACATTAAATACCCTCTCAGACATTTGGCTTACGGATTTTCAGACATGAGAATTGTGGCGAATTGTGATGCTCGTAATTATTGAGTTCAGTAAAGGTATCTTGAAAACCAGAATACAGATTCACAAAAAAACACTTTTTTCGACCGATCATCCGTAAGACAGCTATCGGATCATTCGACGGATAATCTATTCGACAACTTTTTTCCCTTAAAAAATGCCATAATCAATTTCCTGTGCCAATCCACCAAAGCAAACATTCAAGAACTATATAAAATTGAGTAATCCGGTTATGAAATTTTCAGGCCATATATATGGTAGCGAAATGCATGTCAATACCAAAGGACGAGGCTCTAGCCTCCAAAATTGAAGATATCGACTAAAATGATAAACTCGTTCTGCGAAATATACGATATATATATTATACATATGTATGTACATGTACATGTACATATGTATATTTCCAATTCTTAGCCGCTAGTTTTTTCTTCCGAGTTCTATACGCTCATACAGATAGACGTGGGTAGACAGACTCAGCTCGTCGTCCTGACTACGAATATATGTATGTATGTTCATACCTTATGGGTACCGAGATGCAGCCTTCTGCCTGTTACATAAATTTTCACATAACTATTTACCCATTTAAAACCTAGTATAAAAAGAGAGAAAAAGAAACTGTCCAGTTCCACGAAGGCGTTAGCGGCAGCGCCATGAATGATATCATTGTCATAACGCCATTACCTCCGATCACCCTCCCGCTGTGCAGCTGGTGGTGGCGATAACCAGCCATAGCCAAACCACTGGCACTCCCGCAACCCGCGCTGCTCCACAAAGCTTTCGTAAGCAAGCGCCCAAGATTTCTGCTGCTGCCTTCGCTCTCGAAGTCGACGTCTACGTCGACGTCGTCACTGCCGCCACACTTATTCGCATTCGCCTCGCACTATTTGTATTTGTTTTGCGCTCATTATTTATATTCGTGTTGTTTTTGCTGTTTTCGTTTAAAAGTTAATATCAATATAGAAAGTGACGACCTGACGCGGCAAACTGGCGCCACGAACAACTTGACTGCCTGGCTCGGCCCGTGCCGGCGTGCTCAAACACACGCACGCGACCGCTGCCGTAGCTCTCATACATTCTATTCACACATGCATTAACATGTATAAGCACATTGTACATAAGCACAAATATATACATGTATACACATACATCTGTATATTTTTAATATATACATACATACAAAAATGAGCACCTAAAGAAAGAGAGGTGCTTGCTATATCGCTGAATGCTTAATAAAGCCGCTCCAACGATAAGGAAAAGAGCCAGAAGAGGCCACGTTCCGACTGCGGCATGACTACAAACTCACCTTTTCCATCTGTGGTAAAAGACTCGATTCTGGGGACATACAACTGCGATTCCATTTGTTTGCTGATATTTTTGCCCTGCACGCCATAAGCTGTCACTGACAGCCTTTCGTTGTTTTCAGAGCTTTCCTCAGTATCTAGGATTGCAGAACTCTGATCAGTTCAGTACCCTAGACAGAAAACCATTTACATACCTTTATCTCTTAGTCTCAACATTTTTGATCGCTGATACGGCGGGAGTGCGGATTCTGAAAGTGCAAAAGTAAAAGAAAGTTTTTAATATTCTGCGAGATATACACAGATGTTTTGTATATTAATTTTCACATATGTATTTCATAAGTATGTACATACATATTTAAGTTCGATGTTCAACAAGTAAGAATAGTCTATAGCAGGTACCCTGAACCTATCTCCAAAATGTCATTACAAACATTAGAAACACGCACACCGCTTCATTTACCTTAAGACTCACACTGTGGAAAAAGCTGTCGTGATTTATTTCTGTGTTTGTCCATTCTGTTTGAAATTACATCGAAATTATATCGAAAATAAATACACAGACACGTGGAGTCCATAAGAGTCTAACTGTTGTCCATTATTTTTTTCAATATAAAATATTTTAGCGTCTATATATATATATATCTAAATCTATATCCATATCCATATCCATATCTATATCTATATCTATATCTATATCTATATCTATATCTATATCTATATCTATATCTATATCTATATCTATATCTATATCTATATCTATATCTATATCTATATCTATATCTATATCTATATCTATATCTATATCTATATCTATATCTATATCTATATCTATATCTATATCTATATCTATATCTATATCTATATCTATATCTATATCTATATCTATATCTATATCTGCATCTACATCTACATCTACATCTATATATCTATATCTTCACCTACATCTATATCTAAATCTATATCCTGACCGACTGACTGAACGACTGCAGTGTAGAACGATGACTAATGCAAATCCCAAATTGAAATATTTAATGAAGCTTCCTTTTGGATCGAAACAGAACACGAGCACAGGGTTTTGGATAATCCGTCCATCAATTGGGGAAAACGGTAATAAATGCTTTTATGGTAGATATCAACAACAACACAGTCATAGAATTTGTTCTTCAGTTTGTGTGGCTTAGGAGTCTTAGCGTCGGGCTAACAAGCGAGAGGACGATGGTTCAAGTCCACCATCTAATGTCAATTTGTAAATTTTATTTTATTATGTGATTATTCACAGAGTAACAATAATAATAAATTTAGATCAACAAAAATGGAAAATAAGTAGGAAATTAAAATAATAACATAAATGTTTCTTTTATTAGCCAGCTCAACTGTCTAATCACTGTCGTATGGAGAATGAGGTTTCGAACCAGTAGAAAGACCAAAATGCTTTATATTTAAGATTGATACTTAAAAAATATGATTGTTTTAATAAATTCAAACCGAAGCGGTTTCTTTTGATCGATTGAGGTGGGTCAATTATAAAAAGCAAATTTAATATGAGAAACGAGAGTTTCTGAAGTTGGCGCGAATTACACAATCAATTCAACATTATACCACAAAAATGCAATCGAAGGAGTCCTTTAGAAATGCTATTATGCTATACATAAAACCGCAAAAAATGGTGCCGATGTTTGGGATTTCTTATCACTTTATTACATGATAATTTGATAGGCATTCGCGGGAGGGGTGGGGCGGTAAACGCGCGATTGCACAGATTTGAGGCGAACATTTTTCCGGCATAACCTAAAAGCACGCGGACCAAGTCTCGACAATGCTAGTAAATACACAAATGTTTAAATGAAATATAGAGGCGGTAAGCTTAGAGATAAAGTCAAAATAAAAATGAACCATTTATTAAAACACTTTAAGTTTTAATTTTCAAAATATCAAAATAGTTTTAATAGTAATTAAATAATAACAAGAGGCTCTAGTCGGGAGCTCCCGACTAGAGGATACCCTGAACTCTCTTATTCCAACACCAAATGCAGCTCGCGCTACGCGCTCTTTTGCTTAAGTACTTAGCAATAAAGATAAATTAAAAAAAAAAGTTTCCTTAGCAAGGTTCGAACTCGTAACTGACCGCGCTACTTTCCGCCGCCTCTACCCAACAGCCACACCGAGAATTGAGTCTTATTGAGAAAAAAAATAATTAAAATAGCAGCACAGAAATCAATACAATCGAACTTGCAATGCTGTTGATAGAATCAAAGCAGACGCGCATGAATGTGTGTGTACATGTATACAAAAATTCTTGGAATTTGCGCTTGCTGCCCCAAACTCGTGGACAGCAATAACATGCTTTATTTAATAACTTCTGTGTTTCTTAACCGATCTTGATGAAATTATCTACATCTTATTGTACTATAGAATGTTTGTGTATTATCAAAAAGTCAATTGCATTTAAATTGTGGCTTATATTGGTGGGCAGCATAAATTGGTGTTTTTTATTTTATTTATTTATGGCCTTGAGGTAGAAGCGGGGAGGTGGTGGTAGTAGTAAAATGAAAGATACTTGATATATCTATACTATTCTAGAAGCTACATGTCAAGTTTGGTGAATCGAGCTCTTATTATTTACCAAAAAACAGGATTTCGATATAGATTTTCATCGATTACTTGGAAACGGGGCAAGTTATCGAATATCGGAAACAAACTCCATCTGCGCGGGCACTAGGAAGACCTTCAGCTAATTTTAAGCTAATTCAGCTAATACGGACAGACGGACGGACGGACAGACAGACAGACATATGGACATGGCTAGATCGACTCGACTATTGATGCCGTTCTAGAATATATATACTTTATGGGGTCGGAGATGCTTCCTTCTGCCAGTTACATTCATTTGCACAAATACATTATACCCTTTTTACCCATTTTTAATGGGTTCAGGGTATAAAAAATGGATTAGTTTTGTTATATATGTATACTTTAAATATCAGGGGTATGGGTTAGTTTCCCAAGCAGTACATAACATATTTCTTTCAGTACAGTAGCCTGTAAGGCAAGGGGCAGCGCTATCACTGCCGACTTCCGAGTGAGTCGCTGGCTTTATAATTTACCGACCCCTTGTAACAAAGGATGTAGTTTTCTAAAATGTGTATGCGTCTGCGCAGTAGTAAATTAATTAATAATAATTAAAATAAAATATATTGCTTCTCAAACTTACAAACGAATGCACCACCATTTTTTTTTTAAATTAAAAATGTTTAATAAAATAAATAATAAATGTCTTTAAATAGATTTAACCACTAACACCCTATAAGTCCGGTGAATAGCCAGCATTACAGACATTTAAGCTTCTTATATTAGAGGGAACGAGGCTGCACGATCAAAAAAGTGACTTTTCCTTTATCTGTGTCAAAATACAGGAATTGTTCGTATGCAAAAGTCTTTCCGTCCGTCTATCCGTTTGAAAAAGGGTGTCGATCTCAGAGACTTTGAAGTACGAGATTGTAAGATTGATCTAGTCGGAAGGAGCTATGCTCAATTTTTATTAGATTTTTAGCCTAAATTGCCTCCGAGATCGACGCGTTCATACATAAGGACAGATAGACATAAGGACAGATAGGCTGGATCGACTCGGCTATTTATATGATTGTAAATAAAAAATACAATTATTTCCAATGGATGGCAATGCATGGCATTTTAAGGATAACTCATGCATTATTATAAGCATCCCTTTTAAAACCATATATTTTCCATAATGGGTATTAAATGCATCAATTCATCAAATAGCATGTGCCAAAACTAAATTATTTTGACTGCATCAACATGATTCAACCTCAAATGTCAAAAGTTGTACAGGCAAAAGAAGCTGTTTTCTAACAGGTTTCCAGAAATTTTTTATTTTTATTTTTTTTTCAAATATTTATTGTATTGGATCAAAAATAGCATACATTTTTATTACAACGCAGTTGGCTCAGGTGATATTGCGCCAAGACTGGTTGGGGTCCTGTCTTTATCGTGGACAAACGTCAAAGGCGGCTTTTTTTAATAAGACTGCATCGTCACGTAGGTATTCGGGTGACTTTGGGGCGTCTCCTATGTCGTGGATGGAGGATGTCCTTAAACGATCTTCTTTTGAGCCTCCTGACTACACACCTCCCAGCGAAGTCTCTTGCTACCCAGTTGCAGTGTCGCTGCAAGCGTTCGTTGTACCGGTTGGCGAATGCTCCGTCTTGGCTGTCTATGGTCGCCATTTTGAGGTCTCTGTGCAGGGTAGAATTTCTGACCAGTCAGCACCAGTCATTCGGCCATCTTAAAGCGGCACTACTTGAGAAGGCCGTCGATCCAGTATCCAGTACAATTCCAAGGTACTTGGCGCTTCTGCCAGGATGAAGAGGGCTGCCATCTTTCCAGACTGCCGGAGTCTTGCCACGCCTCAGTGTGTAGTTGACCGCCTGGCACTTCAAGGCATTGAGCTTGATTTTCCACCTGCGTGCTTATCTCTCAAGAAATTTCTGTTAGTACTAACCCAATGTGAGCTATATGGTATAGTCCCAAGACATGTCACAAAAATCACGGTTTTTTATGACAGCGATAGACATCGAGACGCCCTTAGCCCACAGTTTGCAATGCAATTTAAACCTAACGAGCTGAACTGGTCCAGTCGGAAATGCAGCGGTTAGAACTACCATGGAGAACTATGTATGTTTATGTATGTACATACATTCATGCATACACAACAAAATCGATCGACTGACATTGGCATGGCGACGATATGTCCGTTGTAGTGCTTTCATACAAAATTTCCGGCTAATTAATCTTATAGGATCTGATGCCAATAACTTGTTAAAGATATTCTCTTAAAAGCAGATATATCAAGAAGGCAATAAGAATCGTTTACAACAACATAATATTGTGGTCCTGTCCGGCAAAATATCTACTATCCCAAATACATAAGTGCAGTGTCCTCATTGAACAACAAAGGCTCAATAAATAAAGATCGTGGTCTATTAATTGTAAATAGTTTGGAGAGTTACCTAAGACTACGGGTTGAAATGCGCGTGTTTAAGACAAGCTGTGCGATGAGATCATGCATCACAAAAATAGTACAATATTAGTATTCGAGAATACATGCACATACATACATACATGTGCACGTACATACTACAAAAACCAAAGCAAAGCCAACCCGAAACAGAAACAAAAACAACAAAATCAGAAAAGAAAACAAGTAGAAGTGTTCGAGAGGGCTCTACTAAGAGATACCCTGTACTCACACATAGAGATGCTTCCAAACATAAATAAGTGGAACAATAATACACAAAGTATGTCTAAAATTTTATGAAATTAGCATGTCCGCAATTACGGCTGGACTGCCAACCAGACGGATCTGATTTTATCGGATCAACTATTGATGCGCCTAACAGTCACAGCTGCACAAGTATATATACCCAATTTCCCCATTTTATGGGTATAAACACAGCAACAAACTTGAGCCAGGCCAGGCCAAACATCAGCGCGGCTAAATAAAAATAAATAAATAAAATAAATAATGTTTGCATATCAGCCAGCAGCACTGGGGGACATTTTATTGGCGCACAAATCGTTTGATGTGCGGCGTTTGCCGCTGGGAGCGGAGGAAGCTGGCGCTGCAGACGTCAGCAGCGCTAGAAGCGGCAACGGCGCCGTCGACTTAGTTAGCCCGGGTACCAGTTAAACCTGATTACGTTTGGCCGCTGCTGCCGCCACGCCGCCTCCGCCGCATGAACGAACGATTCCCAATGAAAACGCCAAGGCGAAGGCGAAGGGAGCAGTAAAATTCCAACATTGCCTTAATCGCCCCAAAGAATCAGCGTGGCGTAGTGTCTGACTGTCTAAGAAATCAAGTGATTTTTGCTTGCCTCGCTGCTATCGAAATTTTTTTGATTGATTGGATTGTTCTCCCAAATAAAAAATAAGAATCAACCAAGAATGCTCTAATCTAGATATCTTGACTATATGTTACCTAGTCCCCAGAACACGTTTAAATATACATTGTTATTTTTGGTATGCATAAGGAAAAAAAATGTTTCTACTAAGTATCTCCAATCAATCATTTAAAACTTAAGCATTTGTACATGGTTTATTAAGAACATTGTGTTGACGTTTGCCATCTGAGAACTGCTGCAACAATGTTATTTTTTTAGAACTCTCTGGCGAACTTGCATTCAATTTTTGTAGATAAGCAGTAGATATATACGTATACTCAAATTCTGTAATATGTCCCGATCTATGAAGCTGCAGCGCTTTCGCTACAATTCCAGGAACTGTGCTCCCTTGGCCGATGTGGAAGGAACAACATTAACGTCTTGTTCAACGGGCTCGGCGCCATCATTGAACAAAAAAAAAGAAACCTGTCCCAGTCAGTATCGGGAAGTCGAGAACAGACCCCAAACGAAAGATGTTGATGCTGTGGCTGCCCACAGTCGAGCAGGTAAACGCGGCACCAACCATGCTTTAATACTTCTAAAGGCATGTACATATGTTTACCCTACCATCATGTATCAGGGATATACTCTTTATTTTTGTTTTTTAAATACATGTATGTGTTTATAAAATATATGCATATGTGTGTATATGCATGTATGCATATGTCTCCGTATCTACCAAACTGAAATAAACTCTACGAATCTGATAAGCAAATACAAATCAGATCTAATTAAGTGTGATTGAGTATAAACTACCCAATCAAAACTGTTCCTGTATGGGATACGAAAACCCAACATAACAAACTTCATATTTTTATTTAGATCGAGATCATTTCAGATCATCATCTGATTATAAAAATATTGGCATAACATGTGACTTACATATTTTTCAAGAATCCCACATTTCATGATGATGTTTTAATCCTTTTAGACGAACAGAAAAACTATATTTAAGTGACCCAGACTTTCTGACTAGGATCACCATAAATCTCCGAAGATAATACATATCTCCTAGTCGGTTTGGGCTGTGCGTTGATCACCAATCAGTCAGTCAATCATTCAGTCGGTCAGGACAAACAGTTTTATATATAGAGATTACTCTTATCACAAGTTTTAGTGAAATATATGAACGCAACCATCAAAATATTTTAAACCTAAAAATATTTAAACTGAAACAGGCTTGTACCAAAGACAATATAAATACTTATCTCTTTATATTAAACTTTTTGTCCTGACTGATGATCAGTTGGTGATCAACGCACAGCCCATACCGTAAGAACTAGGAAGCTGAAATCTTCACTGTAAGACGGGGTTCCGGGAAATTCCACCCGTGTGTGGAAAAATCGGGAAAAACGTTTGTATGAAATTTATTTGTTTACCATCCAACCGCCCTCAAACAAATCCATGCCACCTTGGTAGAAATGGGGGTCAAAGATTTAGTTGGTGACGTTTCGCGATCTAATTCATTTCCAAGGATCTATCTAAAAAATCATTTTGGGATTTGGGGTTTTAAATTTTGCATCAACCGTATTTTCAAAGCTCTACATAAAAACCTAATGAATGCGTGTTTCAGCGATTTAAAAAATTCCACCCGCAACTGTGGAAATTTAGCGAAAAAATGTAACTTACATTTTTGGTTTATTATCGGTTTGAGACTCATTTTCAAAGATCTTTATCAGAACTAATTTGACACGCCTTCGCAAAGTTCACCGCTATTGGAGGGAAAATGCGGGTCAACGGTTTAATAAACGCTTCTTTAATCTTCTTAAATCGGGCTTAAGATTTTTACCACAAGAATAACAAGGGCGGACCTCTGATTCCAACATTTGGATCTTTTTTAAAAAATTTTTAAAATAGAAGTGGAGATCAAGTTGGTATGAGTAGTATGAGGAAAGGTAATATCTAAATATTTTTGCACAAAACGTTCCATGGACAAGGCCGGGTAATACCCGCTAGTTGAAGTATATACGTATATACAATATTTATAAGTATTCACGTATTTATATTGCCTTTAAGTAAACTTCGTTTCCGCTTATCGCAGAACACCGCGTCTTCATCCACCCACACACTATGGAAAATTTGTACTGTCCGCTTCTTTTGAGAGGCATCCAAAAATGAAATAAATTGAAATATTCTCCATTAGTGTTTACTATAACGAACCTACAAACTACATTTGGTATTAAGGTCTTCTTATTTCCTAGATACATTAAAAAAGCTAAGTCCAAAAATCGAAATTATTCGTTCTAATTCTTTCAACACGACGATATACATACGATATTAATTAAGCTTAAGGAATTATATAGGTTAACATAGTGTTCCGACTGACGATACCCTGAAAACAACTCCATGCTGCCGAAACATACATTGTACTATGTAAATACAAATTAACATACGCGTAGAAAAAAAATTCATGTTATACTCTCTTTTACTCAGCATCAGCCGAGTCGATCTAGCCATGCCTGTCTATTTGTGTGTTTCTTTCCGTCGCACCGTTTTCTTGGGATCTCAAAATCGATATCGCTTTCCTGTGTTTTCCCTGTCTCGGTGCATTTAATATCTAGATACAAGGATACAGGGTAAGTATATATACGCTAGACTGGAATTCGAATCAGGATATCATATACTTGTATTTAAAGATAATAATGTTTGCGATATAGAACTTTATTTAAAAGTTCTTGTCTAGCTATTTATGTATATTAAAATAGGAGTTATAAATAAAATATACATGTAGCATTTATTAACTTGACTTACCTGTATTGATTAGGGGGTGAATGCGATACCAGTGCAGTGGGTTGCAGCAGATGTAGACGGAATCCAGCGCACTGGGGCAAGTGGGCAGGCGCCTTAGCTCTTCGGCAGTCCTGAGGTCGGACCAAAAAAAAAGCTGGCAGGTGGTTACGTGCTGCTGCTCGTCCATGGGCGAAGTGCACTTGATTAGAATGCACTGCAAATAGCTCGGAGAGGTGGATATGAAAGCCCGGTTGGCCGAAAGCGATTCGCGCTTGTGAGGCGGGTCCACGCGACTTTTTACTGCCTGGAGTAGCTCGGCTATTTGCTTGTTTTTGAGCTTTTTCAGCAGCGCATTGAAGATCTGATTCGGTGTATGGTGGCGAAAAGTTGTAGTCATTACTGCTCCACCTGTGGACAACGCTGGTGAGTGGGGTAGCATTGGGCAGGAGAGAGTGGATGTGTGCTGACGGCTCAGGATGTGGCATCTGTTGTCGGGCGGGGTCGTTTTCGAAAAGAATCCACTGCTGGATTCTGTCGTGTCGCCGCCACCGCAGCAGTTTCGAAACATGTTCGCCGCTGTCGTCGCAAAGGTCGCCACGGGAGTCGATGGGTGTGCATTGGAACACGCAGGCACCAGCACCCCGCAAGGTCCGTTTTCGTCGCTCAACATGTCTTCGCCAGAGCTTGCGTAGCTGCATCCATTTTTGATAGAGGAATAGTCCGATTCCTCTGTCGCCGAGGCGGACACGGACATGTCTGCTTCCCCATCTGTGCGGTACGTAAGTGGCTGCTGGTCTTGTGTTGGCTGCTGGTGACAGTAGATGAGATGATAAGAGCCTGAGCAGTCTATGGAGCAGGGTATTGAACAGTATGGTGGCGGGGGGCTGTTCAGCTGCCGCATCACCGAAGACTGATCCGCGCAGCAGCAGCAGCTGGCGCATGTCTGAAGGTGGCGTTGATGTGGAGGGTGAAGCGGCTGTAGTTGCTGCGTGGGTATCGGTGTCCCATCCGCATCGCACGTAGCCGGATTGTTTCTTGACGCATAACGCCATAGTTCTTTTTTCTTTTCGCTTGGGAATATCATGGAGAGACATCAATTTTTTTGGTAACATCGATCTTATCGAATGTGCATTATTTAAGTTAATCAACTTTATTAGAACGCACTCATTAGGCCCGGCTAGTCGAGGTTTGGATTGGTTTGTGATATGTACGGTGGGTTAGGAGTGGTGTATGTATCTGTTACTTGTTTCTAATTGGAGTAACTATGGAGTTAGCACAAACATATATGTACTTGAATGTATATACATATGTTTATTAGCCGTTGACTAGGGTATTGCTGTAGTCTGTAGTTCCTCTGTATCGCTTATAAGACTTTTAGCCGTGATATGACCTTGATTCAATTGCTTTGATATGAACTCTGAAAGAAAAGAAGAGAACAAATTCATTATTTTCTGTATACATAACGTAACTATAACAACAAGAAATAATTAAGGAAAGACAGTACCTTTCTTTAAAATAACTAGTGTTGTTGAACGCAAGAAACCAAGAAGATTTTAGTCAATATTTTCGTATTTGATTGTCCGTCTGTTGAGTAATGCCTAAAGACTAAGCTTTTAGAATCGTCCATCTGGATGGAGTGTTCGATCACAAATTTACTTATTATATTGTACATTAACGGCAGTAATCCCGCTATTCAGTTGCTCATATGCGAAACCTTATATAAGGTTTTTCTATTCACTTTTAAATTTATCACTTTAGTGTCAAAATAAATAATGATTTTGGGATAGGCAAAGGATGATATTTCCGACCCTTGTAAAGTTTAAATAAATAATCACCACATATGTTGTATGGTCAGTGGTAAAATCTTAATCAGAACGAAGTTAGTCTACTTGTATCCGTCTATATACACGAACACGTTAATCTCGGAAACTATAACCACTTATATATTTAGGAGTGCCGAATGTATAAAGAGGATCCTTTGCGAACTTCATACATGCAGGAACCCACAAAGTCAAACATACATATGTAGTATCTCTTTTATTCTGAAATAACTTCGTTGTTTGTAGACCGATATTTATTAATTGTTCGGTTCCTGCATTACACCTAAATAGATGTAGCTACCAAAGCTCCAGGCTCTATTGGACTTTATAATTTTAAAAGAAATGTGCGAATGTATCAGGAAAGTACATAATTTCTGAACTGTGTGTAATATATGAGAGCAGACAACACATGCAGTTTTTTTAGGCTCCGAGATATGATCAATACATTAAGCTGAAAATCAATTGTTAACGATTTAGTGTTAACAATCGATTCAGAAAATCCACTAGTGAAACATTTCCAACCTGTGTGTACTATACGAAAACCTATACACCAAGTTTGGTGTAAATATATATAAAATATATAAAAATATATTTCGAAGTCGAATCTTAAAATCGATATTATGAAAATAGGAGGAGATATTTAAAATTTCTTTAGCTTCAGTAGATTTCCGAAACGGTCAAATTGACGGACAGACAGATATGGCTAGATTGACATAGCTCGTCTTCCTGATCAAGTTTATATAAATACTTCATGACGTAAAAGATGTTTCCTTCTGCATTTTACATATACAGGTGCACAAAACCATTTTACCTTTTTCCTATTTTCAATGGGTTCAGGGTAGAGATGGGCACGGGACGTACTTTTAAATTTAATTTAATTTTAAAATGTTACTATTATTATTTATGTTCATAAATTGATGCATATTTAGACACGCGTAAACTGTGACCAGACACAGCTTTAGCTATCTCGTGGGTAAAGGATAGCATTATTTAAAAAAATTATTAACCGACCATCCATCAACCCCATCAAATACTTGCCATCGATCTACACCCTAACATCATAGTATCATTTACTGAACTAATTAGCGGCATCCATACATACATACATACACTATAGCAATTGCAATTCTATTAATAAAATTAGAAAAAGATCGCGCGTATATGAAAGTTTGTGAGCACATGCACAAAGAAAATGCCTGCGCTTTGCGCTATCCGCCACGTCGTTTGTTTAAATGACCACAAGTTTTCTTTATAATTTCTGTGCTTAACTGATCTTGGTGGAATTCTACAGTAGTTTTTATTGTATAGAATATTAGTACAATTGCAAAAAGGCTAAATCCTAAATGTAATGGCTTTAGTGGCAATTATTGAGTTGATTTTGCGGGATGGTACTCAAAAATCTAATCTGAATCTAAAAAATTGGTTATCAATTGCATATAAACAGGGTTTTATTTATGATTTAAAACAATTCATACTACGTTAAAAATTTCACGACTTGGTATTTATTCATTTGATCTTATTTTATTTTATTTTTTATTGGTCGACAAAAACTTCCTAAATATTTAATACATCAAATTATGAAAATTAAATGATAAAAGACTAATTAGAATACACAATTTTCTAATAGCATCACCGACCGATGGATGTGTTTTATTTGCCCGTCCGGACAGCTATGCCCCTTTTCACAGCTAATTTTATCAGTGACGTTCTTAGAGCTTACAGCCATATGTATGTTGTATGGTTAGTGCTACAGCTAAGAAGGAAGGTATCAGTAGAGAAAATAGTGTTCTTAGGTAAAAATTAAAAATAATCTTAATTTACTATATTATTTAAGGATATACAATAAATAGGAAAAATGAAAGAAGGCTAAAGTAAGAAAATTTATACTGGATATATGGAGTGTTAAGTGGATAGGATAAGGAGATAGTGTTGGAAAATCACCGAGCCGGTGAGGGGAAATGTATAGCCTGTTCGGCAAGCTAAGCCCCTATACAGTTCCCGAAGTTACCCTCAAGGCAACGATTTTATTAGGGGTAGAGAAAGTTCGGCGCAGAAAACGTGTTACAAACTATTGTAATTTTTACATAGTACACGAAAAGAATTGTGCATAGGGTAATCTGTAGTCCACGTAAACAGGAATAAGGTGCGATAATTCTCGGTTCGTATATGATTTGGGATCGATGCGTGCATACATAGGCACGGATATTGATGCTGACCAAGAATATATACATTTTATGGTCGGAAATGCTTCCGCTTGTTACAAACATTTGCGCAAAACCATTATATCCATTGTGAACATATTTTCAAGTGGTTTCGTGCTCGTGCCGGGCCACACCATAAAAATGAGGCTCGCGCCCATCGCTAGTATAGGGTATAAATACGTCTCGGACAAAGCCGGGAAGCCCCGCTGGTGTATGTATAAATGTATGTATGAATATACATTTGAACGCAACTATTTTTACTATTTTATAATGAAATAAATAAAGCGAAATAATAGAAAGAAATACAAATTACTATTAAAAAAAATATCTAAGGTTAAGCGCTTGTTTGACGGCAGTTTACATGTTTGTACTTATACATACATATGTACATATGTATGTATGCTCCATGGGCAGATGCACCGAACATGCTCTGTAAAACACACACATGCCTATGGACAGACATACATATATGTATGTACATGTACATACATATGTATGTATGTATTATACATATGCACTATGTGTGTAGTTCTTATCAAAGCTTTAAAAAGCTCAAACGCGACGCACAAGTAGAGAATCAAGGCGCATGAGTAATGCGCCCATCAGAAAAGCGGACACCGACTGCGCAGCATCACCGACTACTGCTAACGCTGACAAAGGCCGCTGCAAGTTAACAACCCAAATACAAAACTGTGGCCCCTACGACCATTTTGTTGCTGGCTGCTCTCGCAGGCATTTCTTGCGCTCCTTATCGCGACGGCAACAGTGGCGCCGCCAACATGACGGCACGACTACACGCTCAGGCGAACATACAAATGTATATGTACATTTGTACGTATGCATGCATGTAGAAATGTACGTTTGTATACATACACACACACACGCGTATTGAATATACTTGCTTGCGTGCCAGCTAGAGGCAAAGTCAGGGCAACAACGCGACGAGACGAGACGCAATGAGGCACAGGCGCCACAGTGGGCGCCACTGACGTAAACGTAATAAAAGAAATAATAGTAACGATGTCGGCGGCGGCGTCGTCGCAATGGCGCCACCAATATAAACTTATATCAGACAGACACGAACAACGACAGCGCCAGCAACAACAATACAACAACGATACGATAGACCGACGGTCGGTTGGTCGCTCGTTCAGTCGTTTTGTCAGCCGGTTTGACAAGTTGAAGAATCAACAATTTGAGGTGAATTAAAAAGAGCGAGAGCGCAAAAGCAAGTGCACAAGAGAGCATCGCGTCAGTGTGTGTCTGTGTGTGTGTGTGTGTGTGCGCGTGTGTGTGTGTTTGAGCGCGCGTGCGAGTGTGTGTCAGTGGCTGAGAAACAACACATTTCTGAATTCTTTTGAAAATTCAACAAGTACATAAATGAAACTGTGATAACAACCGCATATACATATGTATGTACAATTGAAAACAAGGATATTCGCTTATATTGCCAAAAAAAATTGTGTCTAAAATAAATAAGCACATAAATAAATATGGATGAATGTACACGAGTCCAGGTGGGCTCATGGTAATGCGTATGCAAGTACGTACATATTTTCCGTCGTCAGCTAACATGTACATATGTATGTATGTATGTCACCATACTTTCAAAATTACCTACATACGTACATCTATAAAAAGTATATGCATGCGACACTTTTGGAGCCACTACTATTATTGTTTAATGACGCCGGTAAAATACGCCAATTTTAACACACCAGGCTGTATGTTGCTGCTTACAAAATTTCTTCGTTTGTCAGTTTCTCTACATGTAGCATAACGGTTGTCGAACTTTGTATGAAAAAACGTGACATCGTGAGACTGCGGGGTTTAGGTGTCTGATCGTCGGCCTGGCAAACGAGGGATCATGGGTTTTAGACAGTGGCCATCAAAACTATATTTCTTATCTCTTAAATCAATTTAATTTAATATTTGTTTAGCTTTCGGAAGTAACGAAAAAAACATGCATATGCATCATATATTTCCATGCACCTGGCTGGCTTCAGCAGTTTTTTTTTGTGTGCATCACTAGAGTATTAATTAAATATATATATATATTTTTTTCTTCTTCGCATTGATTTGAAATATTTCGCTTTTTGGATACCACTCCCAATTCCCCCAAATTTGGAAAAAATAAAAAAAATGTTGCCCATGTTCATGCCTTGAAAATCTCATATAGATCGGACTATAAACACCGATGCTATTTAGGAATGCATTTCCCATAATGAAAAGCTAAGTTACATCTGCAGTGTAAGCTGCGCCGTAACCGGTGTGCATAGCTGTGTGTATATGTGTATGTATGTATGAATGTATGTATGTATGCTTTGTGTATATATAATTATAGAAGGAAGCTAGAATTTTCTTAGAGGTAGCTTGGCCCAGGGTATCTTCTAACCCGGCACATCCGCCTAGATCCCTTCTGTTTTATTTGTTAATTTATCTATTTTTATTTCTTAAACAGTACAAATATGTGAAATACCTTTAATAATTACGATTTTACATGAAGAGACATGCATATTTAAGATATTTAAAATTTATATAATTTCTTTTAACACATTAATTTGTATACCCTATATTATAAATTATCCCCGATCGCATAAAATGAAGCATCTCCCACAGAATAATTAATATATGTATACTGTTCATTAAACAAGTCTTGGTTTTTATCTATCGCCAAGACTGACTTCTTGTTGCATGCAGTACATATATCTGAGACAAAAGTATCTGAAGAGAAATTCATATAACGGCCATAGGACCGGTCAAAAATTAAGCTTTTTTATGAAAAACTTTCCTGTTTATTGAGATGTTTTGAAAATCTTAGCAATTTCGATTTTATTTTATTTTAGACCGTATCAAATTGGTCTAAGTACTCACATTTTAAAAAAGCTTCAAGCAAATATTTTTGCGTTGATCACCCATCAGTCAGTCAGTCAGGACAAGCAGTTTTATATATAGAGATATAGAATAATGGATAAGTCCCCAACTGTCTCTTTTGTCCATTCTTAATATCCGCATTATTTCAGACAGATGTTTTCCTCTGAAGATAATCGGGCAAACGTTTTGATATTTGAGTAATTGTGTACATACTATATATATAATAATATTGAACATACATACTTCATTGGTAGGGTTCATCCATTACATCCTTATCATCCTTTTTGTATAAAATACATCAATCTTATGTTGTGATATGTTGGTGTATTGCAAATTTTGATATGTATTTATGTGGGGTTGAAGCACATTTATTTAAAGATTCATGTTGGAATTGATAAGAAATATTATATCGTATTCATTGGCAAACATATCCGGTTTGCTTGATTCACATCCACAGAAACTGTTGCGCGTCAAAATATGTACGAGGTATGGAGGGTGATTTATTATTTTTAGTTTAGTTTAGCACTGACCGACCGTCAATCTTTCTTCACAAGTCAGCTGTATTTTTCAGCCTACAACTTTACATACATATATACATAGAAAAAATATATTCATATCCATAAATAAACACTAAAATAATTGTGTGGGTTTCCGAAGAAATTTAATTCGTACGTGGTAAATTTTGCCAAGTTAATTGTCTTTGCTAAACAAATAAATAATAATAAAATCAATTGTTATTGTGAAATTTTTTATTTAAACTTGGGTGTCAAGTGCCTGTTGTTCATATTTTTCAACAGCTTTATTTTTCAGCCACGTGCAAAAAATGAGTTTTTCAGCTATATTAGCACCTATTTTGAATGTTTGCCTAACGCATTTATGCTCACACATTGATTCCGATATTATTTATTTGTTTAAATTTTAATAAATCAGAAAATGTTAGTTGTTGTTTGGTCGTCACTTGTGAGGACGTGAAGGCGACTGCGCAATACTCTGCCTTTTGTTTTGCCTTATATCATTTATGCATATATCATTTATTCACATTTTACAAAAGTAATTCAATCAATTTAAGACCCCCTCTTTGGAAAGAACAAACGAAATATATCCTACTATTATTTAACAAAAATAGCTACGCATAAACAAAAGTAAATGAAAAAAAACCCAATGACATAACCACTGAAATCAACAACGCAAAACAAAAAATAACATAGAAACTAAAAGAAACAAGTGAGAGGTTCTAGTCGGGACCTCCCGACTAGGGGATACCCTGAACCCTCTTATTTCAACTCCAAATGCAGCTCGGGCTACGCGCTCGCATTCTTTAGTAGTAATAAAGATAAATAAAAAATAAGTTCTTTATGCAGGGTTCCAATTCGCAACTGACCGCATTAATTGATGCCGCTTCTACTCAACAGCCAAAAAAAAAAATAGTTTCCCCGGTAGGGTTCGAACTCGCTACAAACTACACTACTTGCCGCCGCCTCTACTCAACAGTCACACCAATAATTGAGAAATAATGAGAAAAAAAACAATAGAATCTCAATTGCAATTCTCTTGATAGAGTTAAAAGCCGACTCGCATGAATGTGTTTGTGAAAATGTATACAGAAATTCTTTGAATTTGCGCTAGCTGCACATAACTTTTGTGTTTCTTAACCGATCTGAATGAAATTTTCGACAGTACATCTCATTGTTCCATCGAATATTTGTATATTCTCAAAAAGTAAATTGCATATTAATTGCGGCTTAAATTAGTGGGCAATACAAGTTGGACTATTAACTTGATTTATAGCTTTGTGGTGGTAGCGGGGAAGTGGCGGTAGGTATAAAATGAAAGATACTGATATATATATACCATTCTTGAAGCAACATGTCAAGTTTGGTGACTCTAGCTCATATTATTTAACAAAATTGCTCAAAAAACAGGATTTCGATATAGATTTTTATCGATTACTTGGAAACGGGGCAAGTTATCGAATATCGGAAACAAACTCGATCTGCGCGGGCACTAGGAGGACCTACACGTCTCTAGCTTTTATAGGTTCTGAGATCCTTGCGTTCATACATATGGTCGGACGGACAAACAGAAGGACATGGCTAGATCGACTCGGCTATTAATGCTGATCAAGAATATATATACTTTATGACGTCGGAGATGCTTCCTTCTGCCAGTTACATACATTTGCACAAATACATTAAACCCTTTTTACTCATTTTTAATGGGTTCAGGGTATAAAAAGCTTGATCTAATTTAGAAACAAATCAAAGAATAGACAAAGGCTTATCCTAACATAAAGGAACTAAAGTAATTCAATTATACACCTAGTGTTGATAAGCTTCAATTTACGATAAAATCAAAATATTTTATTCAAAATTTACAGAAGTCGTAAAATAGGATATGATATTTCTTATATGTTCTTATTTAGCAAATATTCTTTATATGTTTTTGCATACAATATTTATATAAGTATGCATATATGCACATATTATCGTTTGCAAGTAGCATTGATCAATCTTCGTTACGTTTTACGTTCGGTTAGTTTCGCTATAACCGAAGTGTAAGAACACTCACGCGTTTTTCAATGCGACATTCAATTTGCGTACAGCTATATTTTTGTTTATCGTTAATTTTTTTTACATTATTTGCATAATTTTTTTTTTGCTTCGGCTTACATTTATGAACGGTGACGGAGGCGAAATTGCGTTTGTTTGTCACTAAACGCTTAACATTTCACATCACTTTTTACTTGTACAATACTCGAATATAAAAACGAAGAAATATTTATAAAACAATATGTCAAAAACAGCATGAAATCGCGGACGCCGTGAAAGCAATTGTCGTTTGTCTACGTTTCTAGCATTTATTTGTTGGTAACGCCCGCGTTCACAACAAAAAATGTTTGTGTAGAAACCGAAAAACCACGTCCGTTCGTAACGAAAGTTTCTTGCGTTTTGAAAGAGTATGCATATGTGTGTTTTTGTATCTGTCGGATGTGTGGTGAATTTGCCACTCTCTCTCTCTCGCACACAGCTACACCCGTTGCACTAATACAGAAGCACTTGCTCCGCACTTTTAAGTCACTTGAAGTTGGCCGCACGCAATTTGTGACTCACGTTAAGTTGGCTGTGCGCAATTTTAAATCGCGTGTAGTTGGCATTTTGCTGGGTAATTCAATAAGCTGAACACAATATTTAAAGTATATATGTAAGCAGATGTATGTATCTGTAAATTATCTTAAACGATTTAAATCTAGTATGTATTATATCTAACGAAAGAATGACCCGTTGTGAGGATTTAAAATAAAACATATCCTTATAATCTAAAGAAAAAGCCATCTTTATTTATAAAATCAGAAAATCAAACAAATTTGCCGATAAGGAGGGTTGAGCGACGAATTCCACAAAAACTGATAAATAGCCATATCAGTTGCAGTCTGCCGGGCCAGTGGCGCCCCTTTAAGGACGCACACATACAAACGCACACAGACGCTTAGTGGCCAAAAGAGATCAAAGAACCATCGGACAGCCTGATGGCCAGCTCCAGCAGAGATAATTGTCTTGGGTTTGGACGACTTGAAAACATAAAAGCAAATAGGCTGCTGTCATTACGATAATAACAGGTCGTGAACGCAGGCTTTTGCGACGACGATGGCGAGACGACTGTAGGATGTCGGCAGAAGACTGACTCACTTCACTACAGAATATTTCAGATCAAGTTTAAAAAAAATATGTTTGTGTTATATGAAACAGGAAGGTAACGTTATGTGAAGGTTTCGGATCCACAGTATAAATCCTGGACCTTATTTTGATGTACTGCTACTGCCCACGGAACAAAACAACATATGAGATTCATAATTAGCAAATATACTATCTAGCTTTACCCGGGCCAGTGTTGTTTTTTTATTATTTTATTACTTGTTACTTGTTAATGAAATGTATAATAATATTAAAATTTTAGTTTCTAGTTGTTACGTTTTGGGCTGGGTTGAGAGTTGATCAAAAATCAGACCGTTTCATATAATATATATCCAGAACACATTTTATAAAAAAATTCACCATTCACCCTTTATTAAGCGGCCACCTCTCATGAGTGGATTAAAGTTACCCAACGGTCGCTGTCCGGTTGGTCCTATCGGTCGGTGTTCACTCATTTTTACGCAAAAAACACGTAAGCTTGACTGACTGCTAAGAGGATAAAGTGGCCTCCCACTATGATGGAAAATATTAATATATGAGTTTCTGGATGTCAAACTTTGGGAGACGTAATCAACATCCCATATTTCGGATTGACGCCTAACGACTAAGGCTCTGCTTCCGATCTCTTTTATCCCCACACTAACATGTATGTCAATAGATTAAGTTTCATGTAGAATGATTCAAAATATAAATACTGTCTTAGTATTTCCCAGCCTTGTCCAGTCCAACCAATTTCAGGTTGTGGAAAGTTTTAATCTATCCTTCTATCTTGAACTCCACGTCGTTCTAAGTATTTTATACAGATGTTCAAAAACAAGTTTGAAGTCCATCGAACTGCGATTTTTCATCTAAGAGGCGAGGATATTGCGAACACGCAACAAATGAATCACAATTTGATGGTAAACAAAATGATTGCATACAAATGCTCTCCAGGATTTTTCCATGCTCGCAAGTGGAATTTCCCACAACACTTCTTATCGTGCACCTTCTTCGGATAAAGTAGCTACAGTAAATATATCCGTTTCCCAGCTGTTATGATTTTGGCTGCCAGTCAGTTACCTAAGCCATTCAGCATTTTTGAGACCTGGGTACAAATTAGCTTATCCTTGCTTAGAGAAACCTGTAAGTGGGTGAAACTCAGAAGCACAGTTCCAAAGTTCAAAGTTCCTCTTCAATGTGTACGACTCTCGAGTGATTGCTGCTGCTGTTTGGCATTGACAATCATGTGCCAACCAGCTAGTAGAATAACCTGGGTGGTCGATGACGCATTCCTGCTAAATTCCGTAAATATTTTATGAGATGCGCGCAATTAGGAGCCTAAAACTAATAAGATATCATCAGCGCACAAGTTCTGCTAAAGCAAACTTGTTAAAAAACCATTAAAGAGCAGAGCAACAGAGAAGTAGCCACGTAGTCAGGAACCTGTTTTACCATCACCACATCTTAATCGTCAACTTATTCCTGTATATACTTCACCGCAATCGTTGTGTGCCTGTCTCTTCGACGTCACGATTGAGAATGCATTTCACCCGTGAGGTTGGGGGTAGATATGTGCGAGAGCCAAATTGCCTTTTGTGACACGAAAACAGCCGACATAACACGACTAAAATTTACCGAACATGTCAACTAAGTAGTATTATGTATGAAACGGGCATTATTTTAATTTGTGTTGTGCTTGAAGAATCCTTTATTTAATACTAGTGGGTACTGCCGTGAGAAGTGTTATTTCCTTAAACTTTTAGTTGGGAAAAAAGCTGGCCCTTCGAATTCCCAAAAATTACATTTTGAATAATGAAACGCAAACAATGGCCTCCTTTTCTTTTATGTTAAAATTGCAAGTGTAATTAAAATTTATTGAGAGATATAAAAAGCTATTGTCCTGAAGTTTAAAACACGTTTCAAATGAATTTTCATCAGGATTCTTGAAAACGAATTCAAATTCAAAACTTCATCCAACTAATTTTTTGATTTTCCGAAATGTGTTAAGCACCCTTCAAATTAAATAGAAACGAGTTTGAGGCCGATCGTGTGGTAAAAAAGTTGCATACAACTGTTTTCTTCATTTTCCCTACTTTACAATACCGTCTTAGGTCTTACGGGTATGCTGTACGTTGATTAGTCAGTCAGGACAAATAATTTTATATATTGATATTATAATAACTTTCCAGCATATAACACGTCTGCCATTTTGAAGCCAGGCACATACATACATATCTAAAAGTTTTATTGGGAGATCACTGCGGCTGCGGTTTGTATACAGATGAATGTTGTCCAAATCTTAACTTAAAAATGATTTTAAATTACATTCATAAACATTCATATTAACTTGAATATACTTGGGCGAGTTTGTCTTTCAGGCCCTTATCTATGTTTTAACACCTTATCTTTAACTTACCGAATTCCCAAAAACACTGTCGTATATTATTTTGTAATATATATTTAGAAACTAAACATGTGCATTAATCATTTTCAGACTTTTTTACAATCAATTTAAAAATGTTGGGTGCTCAACGGAAGCTTGCGCGTCTTTTCAGTTGCGGTTGTGAGCGGCATTCACTGATATTTCATTTAGGCGGTGCACAATGGACTGCTGTGTCCTGCGACATGATTCCTTGCGAACTAAATGCCAGTCGTGTACGCGGTTATCCTTTTATATGCTCTCGCCAGTGCGCACTTGTTACCATTGCGCAGAGCATTCTGCAGACTGACGCAGACGGCGGCACAGAAACGTTGGACAAGGCGCCGTCGCCGCAGCCAAACATCCTGATTTCTGACTCATTGTCACATATGTATGTGTTGACATATATGTATATGGTATTTTAACGTGTAAACCAACATGCGTAGTAGATTATTTATGATTGAAAATCATAAGTGTGGCTGTCTAGCGTGAATTTAAATATTGGCCTTATAACTCACTTTTAAAAACACAAAGATATTTGTGCTTGTTACTTAAGTTTCTTAAGTATGTTTAGAAAATTACGAATAAGCTATGGACAGAATGCCTTTTGCTCAGGCACTATCAATGCATAAAAAACGGTAATACGTTGGCGAGTGTAGGCCTTAAAAGACAAAAACCAGGATTTGTTTATAAGGATCAAGTGATTTTTAATAAATCTTTACTTGAATATCCTCACTCTTTAATATATACATGTACATACATTTGCACAGATAGGTTTTTGCATTTCATCCAATTAATAGCAACAAGGGTTAAAACATGCCAGGGACAGAAGGGCACAAAAAATTGAAAACAAAACTTGCAAAAATATAAAAATGAAAGACTAAAAACTGAACAGTAATAGAAAATAAATTTTTTAGTTGGCGACACTTGGCTTCTTGTCCCCATGGTGTTGAATCTTAAACCTATTTGTATCTGTATCTGCGCGCAGTTTCGTTGTCGAATGTTGGCTGCCGGTCTGCCGGGTGCCGGCTCCAGCAACACTGGCGGCAACCGCGATGGCGACGGTAACGCAGACGGCGACTGGCGGCCGAAGTCAACTAAACAACGCCAGCCATAACAACAGCAACAATAACAGTCATAACGACAACCCCCTGGAGAAATACCCGCATCCATCCTTGGCGTCGCATTGGCAAAAAGCCCTTCCAGCAGCTTGATGTTGACTTGTACCGTGGAGCAACGAGCTTATATACAAGTAAGATGCTTCACCTGAGCGGCAAATATATTTTGATTAATAATAAAAGAATCTACGTATACTTATGCATATGCAAGATTGTAACAGCATATAGCCCATATTAAGTAAAATTAACATATATTAACATCAATTGTTTTCGTGTCGAGCCCACTGTGCCGCTCGAGAATTCGGCGAGACGCGACAAAGAAAAATGTCGTCGAGTCAGAGACTTAATCATATCAGGACGCCTTAGTTTTTGACAAATTTAAAAACAAACGATCATAAAATTAGATATTAAGACTTGCACAAAAAATACTTATGCCGTAGATTTTTAAATACAAACATAAGCTATCTCGAAAATACGCAACACAATTTAAAAAATATTCTAAAGAATAACTAATTAAATCACCTTAAATTGAGTGTGCTCGACTAGCAGGTACCAGCCACAGGTACCAAAGAAAGTGCACACGACGCAAGCCGCGCACTTTACGCATCCGCCGTGCTTCTTCTTTCATAAACCCCACAACTGAAAATGAACTCTTAACAAAAATTCCGTGGTTATTGTCTGCTCTATATTAAATATGACAATAGTGGTTTTTATACCCTTGTAGAGAGTACTATTAATTTGTCATTAAAGAAGGAGTCATCTCCCATCTGCCAAGTTGATATGATGTAGCTACAATAGGAACGGTCAGTCGAAAATTTAGTTCTTGTATGAACCAATTAAAGGTTTATCATGATATTTTGATCGAATTCGGCATTTACTAGTTTCACTATGCTGTTTATATCGGAGTCAAAGCTGATCAAAATCGCAATTCTATATTAAATAGCTTTATATGAAGAATCGGTTGAAGATTGAGTTTTTTTATGGCGAAATATTCTTCTTTCCAACATATTTTCACAGAACTTAGCACTAACGATCTTCACCTCTTTCACGTATCTGCCAAACCGTGAGGCGAGTGTCTACAAGGGTATTAAATTTTCCGCGTGCCAAAGATGTCCGTACTTTTCCGTTTTTTTTTTTTAAGTTTCTGACTAACCTGAAAGTAAATTGTCTCCTCCGTAAACATTACTAAAATATCTATTAAAAACGTTGGGACAAAGTTCTTATAGATTCCGAGATCGACCCCGAGCTACTGTTACAAACATTGGAACATTCTACTGAACATTTGGGGGCTGTGCTTCTTCCCCCAGCCTCAATTTATGTGAATTGTTTATTTTCAATAACATCGGTGTTTTTCTTCTGATCTTTATGAAATTCAACATAAATATGGTGTCAGTATGTGTGGATATATCAAGGCAAAAGTTTTTTTTATTTAAAATAGAAATAATCTTGACTACATTTTGTAGCACAAGGTTTACCTTGCATTTATATGCATTTCAGCTAGCTCGCTTGCCTAGGTTTTGAGCAACCCATAGCAGAATTTTTAAAATATAAATTTAAAAAATCAATTAATGAATTAAAACAATCAATCAAAAATGTTTGAACTCATCCGCTCATAAATCGACAGAAGTTGATTGTCGTCGCCACAGATCTTAACGTCATACCAGCATTCCGATTTTTTCGGAAAAAAAATATCAATGCCTTCAGGGTATAAAAAGAATATTGATTTGTGTTTTTATAGCAATTTTAATGGTCAACCAGATTTTTTTTACCTTTCATCAAAATTTAGTTGAAAAAAAAAAAATCATCAAAATCGGTAATAATAAAAAGTATTAAATTTTAAGTTCCTGGCTCCTTATAGACTCTACAAAAACTTTTTTAAACTAAGAAATCTACGTATATTTTTTCAAAGATTAAGAGATCGAGTGGACTGTGTGCAGTCGGTTGCACCCGAATTCAACATTTCTACTTGTTTAACTATTACATGGTTTATTCTTCACTACCCCTGAATTAACAAATTTATGGTATAAGTAATTAATATACGAAATGAAGTATGCTATGCCCACAATTTCTTTGTCTTAATACCAAGTACAGAAGGCTACGCTTCCCCAAATTTAGCTGATCAGTTTGATTATTGACTACGGATCTATGCATGCTATTTTGAGAAGGTTTTTAATAAAAAGATTGCGCAAATTAGTTGTGTACTTGTATTGTACACCATTTTGCGCATTTATCACTGCCAACGGTATGCATTGAACAAGGCACCAAAGTGTGTAACAAGTGTCGGCTACTTCGGATGTTTTTCAAAACTCAGAATCGGCGGCGTCGACCGCGAGCACGACTAAGGATGTCAGCGCCTACGACGACCAGCACGACGACAACTTGTCGGCATCTTATTATTTCTCAATGAAGCAAACCACGCGCACACACACCCACATACTATGAAGCAGCCAAAGCTAGATACGGCTGGCTCTTGTGGCGACAATTCCCTTGTAACATTGTGCTCATGTCGCGACAGTTAGGGCGAATGTGGCACGACCTACAGTCAGGCCAAATACACAACCATATGTACATTCGAGCATACTTAAGAACATGCAGGACAAACCGGATACGGATAGTGGTACGCACAACTTTGATTTTCAAAAAGGACACTGGCAGAGTGTGGCGAATTGGGCGCCATTATTACCACCATTGTCGCGACAAATGCCGCCGCTATTTTAATTAGAAGCGAGAATAGTTGAGGCGTCGATGATGACGAGTTGTATTGGATTTCCGTTTGATGGGCCTGTATGTTTATAAGTATATGAGAAAGAAGAGTTTAGTGAATGCAAATGATGACGAAGATTAGATACCTTATTACTTTGATTATCAAAAAGAAGAAGATGCACATTTCTGTGGCCATGAATGTCACATTCTATGCTATATAATCCTTACAGCTATCGTGGGAAATTTTGATTACTACGCACTAAGCATTCCCTTAACACGATGATGAGTTTCATCAATCTTGTCAAGTCCGAATATCCGTACTTTCGAAGCTATATGAGTTACATCTTAAAAAATACATATCATATATTACAAGCAGAACAAGATCATGACTTTGTCCCTTTAAAATTTATAATGATTGGTCTATAAACATAGAAGTTATTAAAGAATTTATTGGTTATAGTTTGGGGCAAAGGGAAACATTACAATAGCACTGTGTATTGAGTGTGTAAATATGTAGGTTTAAATGGAGGGTAGCTTTGGATTCAGGGTATCTCCGAGTTGGACAGTCTCGACTAAAGCACTGTTGTGCTTATATTTTTGGGAGGAGAATAATGTTTGTAATGACGTCTCTGCGCTAGGCTTGGGTTATCTTCTAGTCGGGCACTCCCGACTGAGACTCTCTTATTTTAAATACCATGTCATTTTAGATTTTTAAATATTTTTTAATAATTCACACAAATGTCATGAAAGTAAAAAAGAGATTATTACAAACTATTTTGTTTTCACAATTTTAGAAATCTTCTTAATAATTTTCCATTACACTACTCAAAAAAAATCAAATGATTTGAAATAAATATTAATCTATTATGTGTGGGCCATGTTGTTTTTATTATTATTCCAAGTCAAGTACATTGTTCTGTTTAATTTTTGGTTTTAAAAACATTAAAAAAATGTGTAATGCCAAAAGTTAAAGTGCTTTAAATACCTTAATAAACACAACATATACCTGCTGTAGTATATGTAATATATCCCATTCAAGATCTATCAACTTTAAACTGTAATTTAATTGTGAAAAAGCCGACAATTTCGGTTTTTTTGAAAATATCTTGTTTTTAAATTTAAACAAAGAGCACTAATAAATTGAAACTTATGCGAAAAAGACAACATACAACTTATTAATCGCGGTAACCGGTTACATTATTGAATACATTAAACAAAGATAATTTACAAATTTTGTTTGGAATCTCACAAATTGCTTTTTGTTTATTTTATTTCTATAAAACATAAATGAGCAATAAAACACTTCTGCTGTGCTGACTGCACTTTCTTTTCTATTAAGTTTAGTTTAAAAATACACAAAATGTATCACAATTTTGAATATTCTTGTATTAGAAACGTCAGTTTTTTTTTCATATTTAAAAAAAGTGCGTATGTGAGACAAATTTGATTTCAAAAACCCACATCGCCTAATATGTTTCGAGTGGATGTATAAGCTGGATATTTACAAACTACCGAAACTTCATAGGAAATTGTTAATGTAAATGGACAAAAAATAAATTGGATTCTTTAAATCACTCTAATGTTAATTTGTTATGCTTTATAAATGTATATCAATAAATAAATGTGCATTGGAAACAATTTTAATTCTATTCAATTTTTAATTACGCACAAATTTACTTAATGGAAATGTAAATAAAATATGTAAGCCAATCAAACAAGTTAAAATAAAAGAGAATAGTACAATATTATAAACCTCAATAAAATATAGCTGTCGACATGTATTCACTATTAAATACAGAATGGCATATATACAATGAGCAAAATGTTTGATGCCATAAGTATTTTGATTTTTTAAGGGGCATATTACTATCGATGAAAAAACAGATTTTGAATTTGTTTACATGATTCACATTTTTTTGTGTCGTTGAAGTATTGTTTGTATGAGCCCTGCTTGTGATAAATGTACATGTATAATGTATATCATGTGCATGTTTATTTATATATGTACTTGGTGTATCCATGCATTTCTTTTACAAATTGTGCGCGTGTATTATGTATATGTTAAATTAAACACAACACAAATGTATATGTAGATACATAATTCATACATATATTAACTGCTGAATAACCCAACATTAATGACAGACCTAATACAAGGAATATATAACTTTTCAATTACAAAATCAATTGAAATGAAATAATGCCTTCGTTTAATTAATTTGATGTTTGGCCTCTGTAATTAAAGCCAAAAGCGCATCGAGTTTCAAGTCTTTGAAACGTGCAAAATGATTCATCATTGGCTGAATGGCATCTGACTCAATTGCCGCTGAGATGGTTTGATTTTGTATGGTGCGATTAAGGCAGGAAGCAACCTGTGCGAGAAACTCCCGCCATTTTTGTCGGTTATCCTCAGTAAGCGTTGCATCAATGCCCGAAATGTAAATCGCCTCGACCCGTATTATTAATCCGACGAGCGAAAGAATGCCAAACTAAAAGTGCGGTCAATGCGAAGCATTAAACTCAAGTTTGGGTCAATGGCAAATCATTTAAACTTACGCGACTACAGAAAATGCCCGACATCTTTTTGTCATTCAATGTAAACGCAACCGAAATGTTGATAATTGTTTCCAAATTTGCTTCGTGTATATGCTTTCTGAACTCCGGATAAAGCGCATAAAGCGCACCCTCCACGTCTTCACGATCTTTCTTAACGACATTTTGCAGTGAACAGAAAACTCCACTCCAAACGGTCCAGCGTATTGTCTGATCAGCAATAAAGGGCATGATGCGGCGTAAAAGTATCTGAAGATAGCAAAAATAAAAAAACCCTAAATACGTGTACGAAACAATAAATTTGTAACACATACCTTGCCCTTGCGCACGTTCATCATGGATACAACTTTATTAAAGGTGAGGCCGGATTTCAGTTTGTTCACTAAAACCTTGCGCGGCTCGATTTCATAGTTGAATTTATTTTTGAGCGCTGGATTCATCGTTTGCGGATTAGCTGCATCAGCCTCACGCTCTTCGGCCGTTTTATTAGCCATTTCTAGTTGTTCTACAGCGGCAATGCGTTCGCTTTCCTTCTTCTTCTTTAAAACAATAGTCGCCATAACCTCGGGACTATCCAGGTCCTCTAGTTTAAGCAGGTATCGATACAGGGTCTCTATGTGTAGCAGAATATGTCGAGATTTACGCATGCTGCTCGGCACCAGGACCACTTCGTTTTGATATTCATTGGTTTTATCGTTATTTTGCCCAGTTGTTGATGATAACGACAAGGCATTATCCACTGGACTTACATCGCTACCCATGATATCAGCATCAATAATTTTGCGGGGCGCTGTAACACTTCCGTATTGTAGCTTTCCCAGCGAATTCTCGAACTTTAAAGGCGAAAAGATATATCCCGGCAGAGCATTGCTGTTGTTACTACTATTTGTGACGCCGCTAGTGTTGCTACTGTTCGCGTTGTCCGAATTTCGTCTCTCGCGATGTTGCTGGCCATTGCGTGAGCCATTTTTGTTGCCTAACTGAACCAATATTAACTGCGCATGGCCCCGCGGCTGTGTTAGTGGATGGTTCAACTGGTTGTCCTTATGTGCCTGACTGTGACGCACTTGACCGTTTCTGCGCTCCCTGTGCACCGTGTAGTAGTAGTCGTCAATATATGGTGTGTCAGTGTTTAACTGTGATAACTGAATTCCGATGAGCCAGTGCTTATCGCGCGTACTCATCAGATTGGCGTACTCATCAAACTCCTCCTGAGGAAGATTGCCGCCATAACGATTTAGTTGCTGTTGTTGCTGCAGCTGTTGGGGCAGCTGCTGCTGCTTTTGGCGGTCGCCAGCACGACTTTGCTGCTGTTGACGCGCAACAGCTGCGTTCTGAAGAAGCGGATGGTTCTGCTGAATTTCCTGCACAAGGCGCATATTAAACATGTTATACATAGAGTTGGGTTGCTGATTGAGCAGATTGTGTGGCGGCAGACGTGGCGGCGGAATAGGCTGCATAAAGGCCGCCGGGTGCATGCCAACGGCGCGCATCGCATTAAAGCTCGGATGCATGGCAAAATTGTTGAGCGCCGTGGGCAAAAGTGGGTTTGGCAGTGGACGGGGAAAACTGGGCGGCAAGACATGCTGTTGCAGCAATGGGTGTTGCGGCAGGTTCGTAGCCAGGCCAGTTGGATATATGAACCCAGGCGGAACACGATTTCCACTGATTCCGTTTAACTGTTGGTGCTGTTGTGAATGGGGCGTCGGCATTAGACCTGCGCCGGCTGCCGGAATTGGGCCGGCGCCACCCAGCGGGTGGGGACCATGAAATCCAACATTTTGCCTTGGTGGCGGTGTTTGTGGCGTGGACAAAAATCCAGGAGGTGCTGAAATTACATTAGTTTTAAATCTTTTTTCTTATGGTTTAGATGATAATGAACTCTATTTACATTACTTTTTATGCATAAACATTTGAAATTGAGCATTTAGTTATATAACAAAAACGTAGTTTAGATTCCCATTTCATTATACTCGTGGAGAAAGTAGCGAGATGAGTACGGGCGGAATAACATTAAACACTGAATTTGAGTATATATTTATGAGCGACGAAAGTTCGGTAAAATGAATACACTTGTAGACATTTGCCTCACGGTTTTGCAGATACGTCTGAATAGTGAAGCTCGGAAATGCTGAGTTTGATGAAAATATCGTGGATAACAGAACATTTTGCCATACAAAAACGAGCTTGATCCGATTTGGCCCACTTATAAACAGTAAATATTAATTACGAAATGGTTTGGTCAAGATAAACAAATAAATGAAACTCGATCTAGATTTCTTAATAACCAAAAAAAAATTTTTTTTACACATGATCGATTGTTACTATGGCAGCTGTATGATAGAGTGGTGTGATCCAAACGGCGCCGACATATGTACTATCTGCAACAGTTCTGTTCCTTCTGTTGAAAGCCGGACCCATGCAATGTTTTAAGACGATAGCTTTAAAACTGAGATACTAGTTTACATTCTAACAGACAGACGTCGCAGATGTCTTCACCTATGCTTACATATTTCACGACAAAATTATAATACCCTCAATAAAATATCTTTTAGGGTAGACATACGAGGCCGTGAAAGATTTAAGTAACTTGACCAGGTGTGCTCATTACAGAACGGTATTGGCCGAGCCAAGTCTATAGCGAAATTTGGCCTATTAGTTGTCAAGTCCATAATATTAATAAACAATTGTTTTCGCAATATAGGTTTAACAATAAATACGAAAACACCTAGCCTTACCCTTGTGCTGCAGTGGCTTTTGTAGCTGTTGCTGATGTTGGGATATTGTTGGCGTTACCACCACATGCTGTCGATTGCCCAGACTGAAGTCCTGTTGGTGCAAAGGTTGCACCTGCTGATGTATCTGTTGTTTGGGTATTGCCTGTTGAATGATAAGATTCCGTTCAATGTCTTCAAGAGTCGAGATTTTAGCCGACGCGGGTGGTGGCATGGGCGGTAATCCAAAATTGGCATTTGACTCATTTAATGGCTTCATTTGTGTTCCTGTGTTTGTGGTTGCTTGCGGTTGGGATTTAAATGCGCTGCGAAAGTTATCTCGAAAAAGCTGTTGATTGTTCGGTATTGGAAAAGGGGGATGAGTTGTCCAAACGCCCGAGTCCAAGTTGATGCGGTTGTTTCCATCGCTTTCTCCGAACGAACTTACATCAACGTCATCCAATTTCATGGACGACAGATTTAGTTCCAAGTCCGAGTCGTCAATGCTTCCGCTTTGAAACCCACGCAGGTGCATGTGCTGACGCTGACTCTGGAAAGCGCCATTGCCGCTCTGGCTGTGATCTGTGAAGTCTGTCCCTTTGCGAGCTTTTTCGCCGTTGCCTCCGAGTAGGACAAGCGTTTCGTGGGCTTCTTCCCAGTCGCCATTTATAGCCGAGCCAAACGTTTCATCGTTAAGAGCGTCGTACTCTTCTTCCGGAGGCTCTGCAATTCGTCCGTCACTGCCATCTTCATCCTATAAATTACATTTAACTTTTTAATTGATTTAACATTTTTACATTTTAATAGTACAAAAATAAGCATGGTAGCAATTTAGATGCATTTTTTTTGTTTCCAGACGATTGTGATTTTCGCCGAAAACGAGTATATGGCTTCCTTTATATTGGATACATTACTATAGTTGTTATCCATTGAATTTCTTACCGGTACACTTGTAGTTGTATCAAACCCGAAAAACGAATCGTCCATTGCGAAAAACTATTTGTTTTATAAAAAATTATCATGACTTGTCAGTCACCATGAATGGTTAAGTTGAGAAGAAGAAGTTGAATGGAATCCACATCATCCACAGGCCACATCCACATTAATTTACAATGTTAAAACTATCGTCTTAATGTACACATCGATAAATTTTGAAAAATAAGCTGCGATAACAAGTAGTCAAAAATAAAAAATTTTTTTACTTTATATACCCTGTACCCATAGAAAATGGTTAAAAAGCGTATTTTAGTTGGTTATTTTTTACTTAATACTATTAAAGCGCTTTCGTCGAAAGTAAGTCGAAAATACGTCCTTTTCTTTTGGCGCAGCTCTGCATTAATCAAACTCATTTTTTGATTTCTTGGGCGCGCTGGCAATATTTTAGTTAAGTTGTACTAAGTTGCGTTTTTTTCTGGCGTTGCCCGTCGCAAGCTTTGTGCTTAAAATCTTATTTTTCACTTTTTCCCCCAGTCCTGCTCGTTGAAAATTTAAATCTATACGTAAATTTTTATATTGAGCTCCACGTCTAAAGCTATATTTTACGTGGATAGTTGAAAATAAGTTTAAAGTCCATCGAATAAAAAACCAAAAGTTGGAATTAGCGGTTTCCGCACATGTTAGTGTTGTGTATAGTGTTAGTGTTCGTTCTTTTAAAAGTGGATTATGCGAAAAACGTATCAGGTATATGATCACAAAGATCTTTGTAAATGAGTTTGAGCCCGATCGACGAAACTTAAAACTTTGCCCTTACAACCTTCGAGCCGCATTTATCATCAAAGAAGGACGGACCTTGAGAAAAGTGTGAAGTATATGTCAAACGAATTTTCGCAAAGATCTGGGTAAATTAATTTTACATATCACATCAATTTTTATAAAAATCCTTAGAAATGAATTTGAACCCGAAACTTCATCCAGCAAATCTTTCATCTCCATTTCCACTAGGCGGCATAGATTTTTCGAAATGTGTGTAAATGCATTTGAGCAAAGACCTAATGATGGAAATCAAAAGTTTTTCGCACTTGCGGTTGGAATTTCCCAAAACTAATTTAATCTTTTTAGCCAAGACTAATAGTCTTATATGTATATAGAGATGTGTAGGTTAGTACGATCAAAAAAGATAAAACAAAAGGGGAAAATAACAAATAACTATTAATTGCTTGTGGTAATTATCACAAGTTTCATGTTTGGCAGTTAAAATCTTGTTTAAGAATTAAATAAATAAAAATTAAAATTAATCATGTATTCAAAGAATTCAACAAACTGCATCCGAATTAAATACATATGTACATCAGACTCGAAGTTTCATTATTATTATTTTTTTACGGCTATCGTGACGAACATCGCAACAGTTATTTAAATAACAGTCAAAAGTCCGTATTTCTACCGTACTTTTCAACATTGAATTTAAGATAAAATGCAACTTTTGATATTGACATGCATGCAAATAAATTTATCTTCACTAAATTGACTGGTTTTAAACTCTTTGTTTTTAGACACATGTTAAATTACAAACTAGTTACTTAAAGGCGTATAATAAAATTCACCTTAATTATTTTCTAATTATATGCGAAAAATTATATTGGTAACTGATATATAAAATCTCGTCATTTCAGGGATAATTTTCGTTGCTCAATTTCCAAAAGTTTTTTTTTTAATTCTATTTTTTCCGCCATCAATTGTTCAATTACTGAGTGGTGCCTCTTGTTTTCAATTAACTTTTGTTTATAAAGCGCGCAAAATTCACTTAGCGCTAGTTGCGTACTACTCGCAACATCATTGACCAAACTGATTTGTTTAGTCATTATTTCAAGTTCTTTTTTAATGGCTCTCGCCCCAAATTTCGAACTTTTGCCACTCTGTAAAAAAAGTGGGTCAATATCAATTTCGGCTTTTGAATCTTCTGGCTCATAGGCGAATCCGGAAGCATCTTGCAGAGCACTATGATCTTCCTCCTCAGGCACAACGTCTTCAACGTCTTCCATGTCAAATGTAGCATTGGAATTGTCTTGTAAGTCATCCTCGGATGCATTCATTATAATTTGGCTGACATCATCGTTCAAACGACACAAACTAGCTATAGTTTCCTCTGCGGAGCTTAGACCGGTTGCTAAGGGAATATTGTGCATTTCATTTTTTTCTACTTTCTTGATTATAAATCTTTTCCAGTCCTTCAAAGCCTACTCAAAAAAAAGCAGGCCAATTAGAAGAAAAAAATTACGATAAAATAAACACCTTACCTTTTTCCAAGTCGCCACGTCTTTTTGTGGCGGTCCACTACCATTTAGCTCCAACGCGAGTTGGTCCCAAAGCGATTCGAATGCGTTGCGTGTGTCCCATGAAGGATTTTGCAGTAAAACGGGATGTTTCTTTATGAAGTTAAGTAATATTAACTCCTGCGCAGGGTTTCGAGGTTTACCTCTATGGCGATCATTCAGCTGGGGCAACATTTTATACTTGCGATTCTGTGCCGATCCCGAAACATTTGCATTGGGGTGCATTCTGTTCATGTGTTTACTTAAATTGGTTGTTGTCGTTTTGTAGGACAACTTGGCTTTGCATATGTTACACAAGGCAAATGTGTCATCAACCGCCCGAAAGAAGCACCAGATTTCACTTGTTTTTCTTTTCATATTGTTATTGTTTAATGCAACTTAATATAGTGAACAATTTTTTTAATAATAGACGTAGTGTTGGTAAGTACCAAAAATGGGGCTGCCATACAAATCACAGAAAACATAAAGGGTATTCTTGAATATGCTTGTTACCTTACACAAAAGTGAAACTAGAACCATTATGAAAACTATATATTTACATTTGGGTATAATTTTAATTTTTTAATCATTTTAAAATACGATGTACATAAAAATAAAATGTTTTAGGTCAATGTTTTACCACAGTAAAAGATTCGTATTAACATTTGTTGTTGTTTAAAAATAAAATAAGGATAAATATTATGTTTCATATTAATTATTTAATAATTCTTTTTTATATATTGTCACATTTTTTAACATCTTTTTTGTGCATTTTATTATTGTGCATATCTTATTTTACAAACATTTTAGTTATTCGTTTTAAGCTGTGAAAGTTAGACATAATAATATAATGTTAATGTAATGAATCAAATTTGACGTTTGTAGAAATACCTTATATTTTTTAGATGTAAAAGTAAAATTTAAGTAAATTTAAAATTTAATATAATTAATCGACAACAAACCCATGGAAATCCAAATTTGTGGTAATCGATTCTTATTCAAGCAACAAACCTCAAAAATCAAATAGGTTAACTTCTTACAATATAATTCGATGGAAATTCAATATATTTTTTACAGAAGTGCCATAAAGTGAATACAAAATAGATGTATTGAAACATCACAACAACCTACATAACATACCTTTTAATGGCGACAAGGTTTACTGAAAATGCATATTTGCTATTTTAAAAATGATTTAATATTTTTAAATAACGAGTTACTTGAGTTACTTTTGATACAGGTATTCATTCGGCATGGCATATACTGCTGCTGACAATAATAAAAGCCTTTGTAAAAGGGAAATCTGTTTAGGTTTTTATTTCCTTGGTTCGATTCGGTCACACTTATCGATTTCTACGACGCGCTAAACTAAAGTATTAATTTGCAGATTGTTAGTGGCAATGGATAAGATGTACTTACCCATTTTGACGGAGGTTCGGGACGACGAATTCGAAATCATGAGTCGTGTTACGTGTCCGCAAAATCTGATGTAAGTACTATTGAAATGGTTGGCACTCTGACTAGGCAAATATGTATATATGTGCATAAGTATGCATGATTAATATGTAGTAATCTACATACCTTCATATATGCATGTAGATATGCAAATATACATAAAAACATTTTTTTCTTTCAATCCATTAAGTGAATCTGAACTATTTGTGCTTATACTTAAAAATGCTTCAAACGCATTTTTCGATGGCATTGTCAAAGATTCGGAAAATTTGCTGAGCATTGCCAATAAATTTGTTAAGTCTAACGAAATAAAGACGTCAGTAAAGGTAAGTAGTATCCTCACAAATAAGTACATACTTATTTCAATTTTGTATACGTAAATGAATTGAATTTAAGTATGTAATCTTCCCAGGGACTACAATTACTCAATAAAATAATTTGTCGAACACCTACCAATACGACTGTATTTCTAGATGCACTTTTGGCACGCAGCGTCTACTTTGTGCAAATCCAGAAGTATCCCGTCTGTATCAAAAATGCAAATAGCTTGCCAAGTATTTGGCTGAATGTTTAAGTGTATAATCATAAAACCATGTATACTTTCAGTTGGCAAAGAGCGACTTGGAATATTATAAGCGGTTCAACCCCAAACTTATGACAACAGAAGGAATCTTACTCGTACAAACATTATTATGCTTATCTTTATATTTTATGAGAAAAATGCACGATGCTAGGTTTCATTTATATCAATTGGAGGAAGTTGTGGGTAAATACATGTAAATTCTTATATCCGTTTACCCTAAAATGAGTAAAACGATTACAATAAAGTTGTGCATATGTAACAATTTAAGTATATATATTTCTCTATTTGTACGACGAGATGAATGGGTCAGCCATTTCTGAATTATAAATGAACTAATTTTAAAAACTAAAAGCTTCATATATCAAATTTTGATCAATCTGAGTATATAGATGTCCTAGTCGATATAGCCATGTCAGTCTGTCTGTCCATCCTTTTGTTTCTACTGAAGCTATTGTCATAAAACATTGCATAGATCCTTCTTTCTGTTGTGGGAACCAGCCAGTTCAGACCACTAAATCATGTAGCTTCCTTAAGTGTGACTAGTCAAAAATTAAGTTATTGTATGAACAACTTTATGTTTATCAAGACCAAGCTCGGCTTTAAATAATTTGATAATCAAAATATATTTATCAGTATAAGTTTCTTGTTGTCAATGTCAGTTCGATGGAAACATTATATCACTATAGGAAGAATTGGTCGAAAAATGAGCTATTTTGGCAGAACTCTGTCTCTACCCTATGTTTGGTTTGAGATTTGAGATCACACAACTACTAGTTTCAAGTATTTTTAACGTTTAAGAGTTGGTACCATTATATTTGTTAGTAACTCAAAACATTAAAAAAAAATGTTTGGAAGGGGAGAATCAAAACAAGAATCACAACTCTCCTAGAGTGCCACGAGTACTTTTTTTGATCTCGGTGGTGTATCGCCGTATTGATTCACCACAGACGAGAACCCAATGATACTTTGTGCAGCTCGACCATTCACTGAATATGCAATTTTGTGCCAATCGACCCCGTCATATGATATGCCCATCTCAAAAGTGCCTATCAAACCTTGTCTCTCCTCTCGTTACTATGAGAGGTATGTTACGACCCTTATGGTAGAGGGTATCTTCTGGCCGGGCATTCTCGAATAGACTAATTTTTATACCCTTGCAGAGGGTATTATAATTTTGTCGTGAAATGTGTAACGCATAGAAGGAGACATCTCCGACCCTATAAAGTATATATATTCACGATCAGTATCAACAGCCGAGTCGATATAGCCATGTCCGTCTGTCCGTCTGTCTGTTTCTATGCGAACTAGTCTCTCAGTTTTAAAGCTATCTATCAAAACCAGCTAGATCGGACCAGTATATCATATAGCTGCCATAGGAACGATCTGTCGAAAAGTAGGTTCTTGTATGAAAAACATTTTGGTTTATAAAGATATCGTGATCAAACTCGGCATTTATTTGTTTTATTATGCTCCTCATATATATGCAAAATCCTATTAAGATCGGATCACTATATCAAATAGCTGCTTCTTAGATATGAACATTATGAAAAGGTTGGGAGCGCAAGGGTATTAAGTCTTCGGCTAGCCGAAGAAAGCCCTTCCTTCTCGTTGTTTTTGTGTTTTATCACTATTAAGTATGATTTCTCTTTACAGGTAAATTGCCAGCAAATGTGTTTCGCGAAAACTTTGGTAAATATAAATAATAGCGTAAGAGTCAATTTAAATTAAATTACATTTGGGGTATTCAAAGTTTCCTGCTATCATTCGTTAAGTTATCTATAAATTCTTATTATCGGCAGGTTTTAACGTGATAATTTATTTATTTTTATACCCTGAACCCATTAAAAATGGTATTTGTGCAAATGTATGTAACAGGCAGAAGGAAGCATATCCGACCCCATAAAGTATATATATTCTTGATCTGCATCAATAGCCGAGTCGATCTAGCCATGTCCGTCTGTTCATCCGTATATATGAACCCGTCTATCTCAGAACTTATAAAAGCTAGAGAGTAAATTTTTAATGAAGATCCACTGGCGTAGTACGAGTCCGATTTCCGCGTATGTGAAAACGGAAGCTAGAATGTTTGTGACTGCACACTCACGACAAGAGTTAATTCTTATATTTTGCTTTATTTTATGTATTCTGATATGTTAAACTTGTATATATATACATGCACAAAAAAAACCAAAACAAGAGTTTCTAGTCGAGAGCTCGCGACTAGGGGATACCCTGAACCATCTTATTCCAACACCAAATGGCAAATTTACTATCTTAAATGAATTTTCACTACCAATAGAAATTCTTTTAATAAAAACGAAGTGAAAAACATAAAGTTTGTAAACAAATGTTCAAAAGTTGAAAGTGAGCATATTAGAAAATACAATAATAATTATCATACAATAATTAATGGACGCCCATCAAACATTGATACATATCTTTAATTTAATATCTTCATCTAGAATTGCAGACGTTTTTAAAACATTTGGAAAAATATAAAAAAGAAATTAATCAACCTCCACGGAATATACAGTACAAAATTAATAAAAAAAGTATCAGCTTTGGGCCGTTAATCGGATCTAAATTTTACAAGAAAGCACCTGTAGTATTCTGTAAGTGTGAACGTGGGTAAGTAAGAGTAATTTTAAGCATTATGGTTTTTGGCTCTGCAAGCAATCTAAATTTAATTTAAGAAATACGCTGAAATCCGCAATGCTCGAGTAGGATAAAAAAATGGGGCGAGATTCACAAACGGGGTCCACCATCTAACTTTTTTTTTCAACTAGTGCTTATTTCGTGAATGGTAACACTTAGCTTATGTCTGATTTGACAGATAATTAGTTTTATCCTTCCGCTGAATGAATATGGTTGTGTATACGCTTGAACAACGCTGGGAAATATTGCGACATTACTTTGAAAATCATGGTAATGTTGCAGAATGTGTGCGAAAATTGCGTACGGATTTTGGAAGAAGAGTAGCACCTTCAGCTCCGTATGTTCGTTATCTTGTGAAAAAAGTGAAAGAAACTAACATCCTCATCGATAAACCAAAGCGTGAAAAGCCAAAAACAGTCCGAGAATATTGCTGCTGTGGCAGAAAGTGTGCGTGAAGCGCCATCAACATCAATTCACCGTCGTTCTCAACAATTGAACATTTCGGAGACATCATTGAGACGAATTTTGCATAAAGACCTTGGTATGACGCCATACAAAGTCCAATTGGTTCAGGAGTTGAAGCCAACTGACCATCCAATGCGTTCTTGCTTCGCTAAGTGGGCCTGCGATCGACGTACAGAAGATGCCGATTACTTCTTCTAAACACGCACAAATACAAATGCTGCAGGGACTCCTCTTTATTTAGCCCAGAGGTTTTCAAATCAATTTCATATATTTTGAGCGCTAATCAGTTCTTATCGTCTCCCAAAGCCAAAACCACATCTTTTTTTTTTGGCTTAAATAGAATGGTTCCAAAGCAAAAGGCTACTCCTAAAATGCGTCAAATGCGTCAGTGTTAGATTGAAGGAGATCCACAGGTGAAATATTCTGGAGTTTTAGTGTTTCTTTTATATGCGCCGACATATGCAAATTAGACTCAATCTACAAATTAACTTAATCGGCATCGTGAAACCCGACCAATTTGAGACTTTATAGCTACTGATATTGACGGGATAGTACCGATTCAATAGTTGAAGATGAGAACGAATTAAAGTGCAATATCATTTCACGTTGCGACTTTGACAGCGTTGCTTGCCAGTAAAATAAAAAGCGTTTTCACCATAACATCAAAACTGTCATGTCCACAAATTTGATCCCTCTATTCTTCACATCGGGCGGTCCTAACGCGTGCAACGGCCCCATTGTTCCTTTTGTGGCCCACTTAAAAAACTAGGCTCCATGTAAAGCACAAAAGAAAAAGCTTTTGAATTGATTAAAAAATTAAAACAAAGATTCTAATTTTAATTAAATATGTCTTTCGTTTATCCACAATATACACATTGACAGCAAAGAAAACTGTTGATTGTGATTGTAAACTCCAATTCATTTTCGATTTCTCTGGTGTTTTTAATGTATGTAATTTGCTTATTATTTGTGAACTAGCGGGTATACCCCGGCCTTGCCCTTGGCACGTATGTTATAAAATCAATGTTCTCAAAAAGCTTTGAAAATGATTTTAAAACTGATCGGACGATAAACAAACAACTTGCATACAACCGTTTTCCGCCAATTCACCACTGTTGCGAGTGGAATTTTCCAAATCGCTGAAACATGTATTCACTATTTTCTTATGTAGAGCTTTGAAAATAAAATTGATGCAAATCGGACAAAACTTAAAATTCACAAAAAAATCTTTAAAATGCGCTTTCCACCAAAGTAGTTTAGATTTTGCGAAGAATGTGAAACATGTCTCAAATAAATTTTTGTTTAGATCCTTGGAAATGAATTTGAAATGTCACCCACCAAATATTTGACCCCAATTTCCACCAAGGAGGGATGCATTTTCCAAAAAGTGCGAAACACCCCTCCATGGAATTTGAACAAATTTCTTTGAAAATGAGTTTTATATCGCTATATTAGCGACCACGGCCTTGTCCGTGGCACTTATATTATAAAATCAATGTTTTCAAAAAGCTTTGAAAATGATTTTGAAACTGAACGGACGGGAATCAAACAACTTTTATGCAAATCGGACTAAACTTAAAATTCACCAAAAAATCTTTTAAATGCATTTTCCACCGAAGGAGTTTAGATTTTTCGAAAAATGTGAAACACCCCTCACATGATTTTGAACATAGATCTTTGAAAATGAGTTTGGGGCCGATCGGATGGTAAACAAAAAACTTTCATATAACCGTTTTCCGCCCATTTACCACTGTCGCGGGTGGTATTTCCCAAATCGCTGAAATACGTATTCATTAAGTTCTTATGTAGAGCTTTGAAAATAAGTTTGAAGCAAATCGGACACAACTTAAAACTTCGCACAAAAAATCTTTGAGTCGCATTCCACCCGAAAAAGTTTGGATTCTGCGAAAAGTTTGAAACACGTCTCAAATGATTTTTCTTATAGATCTTTGGAAACGAATTTGAGCGCGAAACGTCACCCACCAAATCTTTGACCTCCATTTCCAGGATGGAAGGGATTTTCCTAAAAGTGTGAAACACCCCTCAAATGAATTTGAACAGAGATCTTTGAAAATAAGTTTGAGGCCAATCGGATGGTATACAAAAAAGTTACATACAAACGTTTTTCGCGATTTTTCCACACTTGCGGGTGGAATTTCCCGAAACCCCGTCTTAACGTGCACCTAAATCACATAAGGTAACTACAGTGAAAATTTTATATATAGAGATAGAGATAATAAAAAATAAGTATGCAAATATTAAAATTGACAATTGCTAGAGTTAACAGATTTTTTGCTTGTCACAGGCTCGATCTCAAAGTAAAATTAAATTAATGCATTGTATTTGATACTTTTCATGCAAACTATGCCCTCTGCTTCGGAGTTAGAATTTTCCGATTCTTGGTGCTCACTTTCAACGCAATAAGAAGCTTCAGTAAAATTTGGGATCCGTGGGTTTTAAGGATATGTCTGTGCCCTGGTCACCGTTCAGTCATATCCTGAAGCCACTTAAAATGGGTAACACAAGGAAGGAATCACTAGGAAGGCAATAGAAGAATCTATGTCCAAAATTTCAACCTCTTAGAGGTTCTGAGGTTATACATACGGACGGACAGGCAGGCTCGAGGCAAAGTATATATTCCTTATGGGGAGATGCCATATTCTACATGTTGTGCACAAAACCATTATAAACTTTTTACCCATTTTCAATGAGTTCTAGTATAAAAGGAAAAGGACCTCCTTCTATAATCCCAATAAATTAAAACTAATTTATTCCCCTTAAATCTTTTCAGCTGAGTTACAAATGATGTAGTTTTTCATATTCTGAACCTAAAACAATCGATAATAATCGATATTGAAATCCTATTTATTGATCATATCTCTTAGGTTTTAAGAGCTAGTCACTTAATTTGGCAATTAGCTTCTAGTATAATATATACAGATCATATATTTATTAAGTGATACCGGGATTCCCCTCCCACCTACAAAAGAAAGTGTAAAACTTGGGTGAAAGAAGGTTGAGGCTGTCCCCTAACCGGGCACTCCCGACTAGAGCACTTTTACTCGTATTTTTTTAAGATAATATACCGACTTTGAAAAAAAAACAAGCAAATGTCGAATCTGGCCTTATGCAGAGCGATTTCGAGTAAAAGAATGTTGGGGAAAACCAAAATGTAGTTGGTATTTTTATTCAAAGCGATTTAATAATGTGAGAAGATCTTTAAATTTCTAACGTGTTGTTGTCAAAACCAGGGAAGAATGAATTGTATTATATTCAATTTGCGTACAGCTGCTTGTCATCGATGCTTTAGAACATATGACATAAAACAAGAAGTGGCACGCTGCTATGTTTTCCGAGTAAAAATCGATCGTTTGTCACGAGTTTTACAGTTGTATGGAGAATACAAAATCGGTAAAACACGTATTCATTAAGTGCTTTGAATATAATCATTGTCCCCCATTTCCCACCCAAGAGGTCTGAATATTACGTAAAGTGTGAAGCATGTCTCAAATGAACTTGAACAAAGATCTTTGAATAGTAATCAAACAGTTGCATACACCGTTTGCGAGTGGAATTTCCCAAAAAATGTGCACCTTCATCACTTAAGGTAATTTCCGTTTCCCTGCTCTTACGGCTTGGGTTATGCGGTGGTCATCAGTCAGTCAGCCAGGACAAACAAATTATATTGGACCAAACTCCAAGCGCAGAACAGGAGATCCATATTATTGAAGTAAAATATTCCATTTTAACATTTTGGGGTGTTGATCTTCCGATTGAATAGAAATAAGTCCGTATTTTACTAAAAAGATACGTGATTGGAGAAACTATCAAAATCATTAAAGTTACGTTTAGCAGAAGCGTTACAAATATCAGAGGACCATAGGCAAATGTTTAAATTTTACAACTGTGGCAAAATAACTATCTACAAAATATCGCACAAATCGATTAAGTTGAGTGAATAAATAAATTTTCAGAAAGAATTAATTTTAAATTTGTTGAAAATTATATTTAATTTAGAGGGATGCACTCATATTTTCCCTTTATTTAAACAGCTTTAATCTAACAGGATTTGATGGAATATACACCAGTAGCGCAATTGCTAAGGAGGAAGTCATCTTCAAGGATTCGCATTCTTTTCAATTTGGTATACCGTTTATGAATTGCGAAGTGTGTGGGATTTATCGAGATCATTTGTACACATGTATCGAATGTCGTTACAAGACGTACTGCTCTTTAAAATGCACACAATCCGATTGGGAAGAACACCAAACTGAATGTTATGGCTACAAAATTGGAATAATACAGATGCTGGAAGCAACACTGTTGTTTAAAATATTTATACAAGCCACTAAATATTTGTCAGCAGTATTAACAAGCTTAACCCAGGAGCATGGGTGTGTATTAAATTTATTACCAATTAAATTTATTTTTTTTTACGACTTGTTTTGTAGAGCCATTCGAAATGCAGATTCTGCGTGGGATTTCATTGTTAAATATTCAAAGGCTGACAATGCAAACCACACTATTATCGGAAAGTTCTTGTCCAGTCAACCCGACTGCAAACAACTGACAGCGAAAAAGTGGCGTCAGCTTATAACAACGAGTTTTCGACTGGCTGTTTTCGTGTATAATGATACAGATATCAATGACAGAATTTTCTCCAAACTTAAAATGCCAAAATTTGAAACCATTAAGCTCATTGCAGCACTGTTAATGCGTTTGAATGTTCACATAACACTAAATTCTCAAAGAAATGAATTTCACCACCAGCAAAAATTGCCTGCAAGCTTCAATTTTCTGGAATACCAAGGCTCACTTGATCCACGTATTAACGCGAATGCATTTAGCTATCACTCTATTAACGCCCACTTGGATTTTGTGAATTGTTATAATAGGCTGCAAGAACGCATTTCGTCGACTAAGCATTCGAGTAATCAAAAAGGATTATTTTCCAAAAGCCACAAACCTCAAACAATATCTGAATTTATCAAAAAAATTTCTATATTATGTCTTAAGAACGCTAAGATACAGTCTGTTGGAGATTTAAATGATGTTAAAGCACAAGCTTCATATAATTTCGAGCTATGTCTTGTAAAATTGAATACCTCAGATCGTTGCAAACTTCTCTCAAACATTGCAGAATATTTTCATAAGTTTCTATATGATTATTCTTGCTATGATGGGTGTCGGCGACAGGAAACTACAACAATTTGTGGAAATGTAATAAGTTTTAAAAATTTTTGTTTGGAAAACTGTGAGAGCAGGTAATTAAAGATGTTTTAATTTCGTTTTATAACCATTCAAATATTAATACGTCAGTTTCACAGGAACCCAAATAGTGGTGAATTAATATTAATGGCCGCCATGAATCTAAAAGCTGATGTTGAGTTGACAGTAACTCTTGATTCTGTCAACCAATTGGAAAACACATCGTATTTCGAAGTCATGAAAGACTGCAAAAGGGAATCATGCTCTAACCAAACTGTGATCGAACCAATTGTAAGAAATAATAAAAATATCTCACTCTATTCTTAACCATATTGTCAATTTTAGAATAATCGTCATGGCATATTTTGTGCTTTCTGCGAGAAGGAGACAGTAATAACATCTGCTCTTGGTAAATGCTCGGAATGCCAAATAACTTATTCTGAACTTTTTGAGCAATATATCACATTTATATCAACTATTGTGACTGAGATACGTACCAAGGTATCAAATCCAAAAAGTATGTAATTTATTTTAAAAATCATAAATGTTTCGACTTTGTCATGTGTTGTTCTCATTTTGCCACTCACTTGAAGCCTATGGCCAAGTGAAAATTTACTCATTCTTTCTTGAGTCCTTTTAAAATAAGTTTGAAGACCCATGTCTGTCCGTCCGTCCGACCGTCCGTCTGTATGTATGAACGCAAGGATCTCAGAACCAGTAAGAGCTAGAGACTTTAAATTGAAGGACGACCTAGTGCCTGCGCATTACGAGTTTGCGTCCGATAGTCGATAACTTGCTCCGTTTCTAAGCAATCGATAAAAATCGATACCGAAATCCTGTTTTTTGAGCAAATCTCTTAGGTTTTATGAGCTAGAGTCACCAAACTTGAGATGTAGTTTCTAGAATAGTATACACAGGTCAAGTATTTTTCATTTTATAGCTATCGTCACCCCCCGCAGCCACCCTATAGATATAAACAAATACAAATAAATCAATTGGAAGTATCCACTTATTTAAGCCACAATTTTTTCGGAATATTTTATTTCATCAAACTAAGCATTAACGAGCTTCAGTATACTCACATATTTGCAAAACCATAAGGAACATATCTACAAGGGTATTTAATCGTCGACGTGTTTAAAATATCCGAACTTCCTCGATTTTTAGATATTCTTATATATATATAGGCGATTATCAACTGTTTATTTAAGGTATGGATCTAAAGTTAACTAACGAATATTGATTAAGCATTAGAAATGATTTTCCCCAATTTTAAAAGGTGTTATTTAGAGAAATAACTTATTTTAATTTTGTTAACAACATAATTTAAATGTATTGTATAAGTTAGTGTAGTGCAGAGTGTGAATGCATTTAAGCTCTATCCCACTCTTGTTGAATTCGCTCCGCTTAGTTTCCGAAGTAAAGCTGGCTTTAAGTGGAATATTTAGAGATAGAGAATAAATCGTCGGATATCAGTTGACCGAAGGCACCCACTTTTCCTTTCGTTTTCGCACGAACAATTATTGACAAAAGGCATCAATATATATTTATATTTTTATATAAAAAGGTAGTCCGCGATGGTTATGAAAGAAAAGAAAAGAGCCTAAGCCAGCAATCCAATCCAATATTCTCGCCAGTCGCGTTGTACCCTGTAATATATATTTCTGTTGCTACGGCCGAGGTTATTTTTTGCAACAGTGGAAAAACCGGCTGATTTAAAAGATCCTAAAGACAGAGATAAACATTTTTGCGTCGAATTGTGTAGTGCACTTCGCTTTCAATTTTTGGCACAAAAGTATGTATTTACTATTTCCACAGGCGTCCGCAACGGTAAATTCTTTTCGTTTTTGCTTTCAACCGTCAAATGTTGCATTAGTTGTTGTTGTGTTGTTGTTGTTTGTTGTTTTCCTTGGAGTGCTTGAGCCAATCGGATCGCCAAATTTGGCGCACTACCCTAGGTTTCTTCGGCTATATAAGTTGTGCCGTCATTTACAGCCAACTGACTCTGTTTTTTCCATACTTTTCGCTTATAAATATCTTTTTATCTAGAAAGCTTCACAAAGCCTTTCGTATCCGCTTCTTTGCGACCTAATCGGTCAAACCTTCTTAATTTGGAATCGCCAATGTTAAAAGTTTAAAAATGTTATCATCCTTTTTGAACCTCTACTTCGTATTGACAGTATTCCACCTCTCGAAAAATGTTATCAATTGATTTCAAGTCTCTCTTATAATCATTAGTAACAGTAATAGTAGTAGTAGTAACGAAAAGATATGGCAAGGCAAAAGGTTAATGAATGAATGAATGAAATAGTCTTTAAACGTTCTTTAGACTTCCTAAAATCACACAGTAATCAGGATCGTCAATAAGGAACCTGAACGATTTCGTCTCATTGGTGTCGGTCGGTGACGCCACAAAATATTGGAGACAATGCTGTTACCAAATTGAAATGAGAAGGGCAGCTAGATTATAAGAAGTTTCCAGAAGTGGACTGGTACCTACCAGAAAATATACTTTGGTACAATCGCTGCTGTGCTCTAGGTCCCAAACAAATATTATAATTAAGAAAAAACTTCTCGGCGGGGAGCGAATAAAAGACTTATAAAAGACATGCCAGGTCAAAAGCCTGACGAACGCCCAGGAAATCTGCAGCACAGTACTTATTCCTCTAGCCCGCATTATGGCGTCCAGAGAACTGGAATTTCTGGCAGCTAGAAGGCAAGATAGCAGAGTTTATTAGAAGACCATTGGGTTGACAAGATTGTATGAGTCCGGGCAATATTTTTTTGTCGCCATGACAATACATCCCATTTCTGGATGTTGGGAAACGCATTTCGAAACTAATGGCGAAATCAAAAGGCGTATATGGTGTCTGTATCTACAGAGGATCTCTCTGCAAACATTTAAAGGGACCTACGAACACGCTGCCACTTGATGTTGCGGGTGCACCTCCAGAGATTCAGGCGTGACAGCGTATAGGAGTCGCCTGCTCTATGCTACGCGAGCGATTACGAGTCTTCAGCACCTATCAGAGTCACACTGTTCTTAAAACCCTTGAGATCTAAGCCTCAGGGGAGGATCCTTGGTTAGTAATCGTATAGGCAGTTATACGCCAGTAGACATGACCTGAGGATAGAGCTAGGCACTTAAATTTCGCTTGGTATGCCCTTGTAAATGGATAAGTCAATCACCGAGGCCAAACAGCTGGCGTCACTCGGAAAGTGTGTGGACTCAGTGACTAGGCCCTGAAGTCTGGAGGCAGATATAATAGATATCGGTCTCCCCTTTAATATGACCGCTTATCAATTACAAGGAAATTGGAGCCCAAAGCACTATGGTTCAGTCCCCGTGGTTGCGTTCTTTTGAAGGAATTGGGAATCTATTTTTTATACCCTGAACCCATTTAAAATGGGTAAAAAGGGTATAATGTAGATGTGCAAATGTATGTAACAGGCGGAAGGAAGCATATCCGACCCATAAAGTATATATATTATTGATCAGCACCAATAGCCGAGTCGATCTAGCCATGTCCGTCTGTCTGTCCGTCCGTCCGTATGTATGAACGCAAGGATCTCAGAACCTATAAGAGCTAGAGACTTGAAATTTATGTATGTCCTCCTAGTGAACGCGCAGATCGAGTTTGTTTCCGATACTCGATAACTTGCCCCGTTTCGAAGTAATCGATACTGCATTTGTTGTTGGAATAAGAGGGTTCGACTATAACCTCTTACTTGTTTTGTTTTATTATTTTTGAAGTATTTGAAAACATATTCCAAAGTTAATTCTCTTTTGTTTTTTATAAAGCATTTATTGAATTGGATCAAATATAGCGAAACAAAATGAGAACAGCGGCGTTCTCATGCAAGTGAATGTGTTTTTAGTCTACAGGCACAAGTACTGTAAAGTATTGAATTATACTATGTTATTAAGTATCGAAGGTATCGAAATCCTGTTTCTTGAGCAATTTCGGCAAATAATATGAGCTAGAGTCACCAAACTTGACATGTAGCTTCTAGAATAGTATAGATATATAAAGTATCTTTCATTTTATACCTATCGCCACCTCCCCGCTACCACCATAAAGCTATAAATCAAGTTAATTATCCAACTTTTATTGCCCATCAATTTAAGCCACAATTTATATGCATTTGACTTTTTGAGAATACACAAATATTCTATATTCTATTCTACAATAAGATGTACTTTCGAAAATTTCATTAAGATCGGTTAAGAAACACAAAAGTTATGTGCGCACGTGTTAGCATCAGCAGGCACAAATTCCAAAAATTTCTGTATACATGTACATACACACATTCATGCGCGTCTGCTTTGAATTCTGTCACCAGCACCAATTGTCACCAATTGCGATTGTATTGTTTTCTGTGCTGCTATTTTAATTAGTTTTTTTCTCATTAAAACTCAATTATTGGTGTGGCTCTTGAGTAGAGGCGGTGGCAAGTGGTGCAGTTAGTTGCGAGTACAAACCGTGCCAAGGGAACAATTTTTTTTTTTTGCTGGTGAGGCTGCTGCGTAGAGGCTGCAGCAAGTATTGCGGTCAGTTGCGAGTTGCCCTGCCAAGGGAACTTTTTTTTTTTAATTTACCTTTATTACTACTAAAGCAAACGAGAGAGCTGTATTTGTTATTGGAATAAGAGGGTTCAGGGTATCCCCTAGTCGGGAGCTCCCGACTAGAACCTCTTAGTTGTTTTAAATGTGTTGTGTTGGTAAAAGAAGTTTCAAGGAGTTTCCCAGTCGGGCACTTCCAAATAGAGCACTTACTTTTATCATCTATAGTATCATAGTTATTTGATTTTGAATTATTTAATTTACTTAAAATGACCATTTTCGAATATGTTCACGTTATCTGCAATTTGGGCATTTCTAACTAGAACATTCTTACTTGTTATATTTTGGATTACGTTGACGCATCGTAAGATAAATCAAGAAAGAGTGATCTTGTCGGGTGTGCCCGATTGTGAGATGCTATAAAAAGCTCAAGCTGTAGCCATAAAATACCCTTTTTACCTATTTAATTGTTAAAGGTATCCCATCTACTGAGTCCGATAGGGTGGAGTCCATCTTTCACGGAAACTACAAGACCTAGATACTTAACATTTGAAAGATTGCTGCTCATATATCATACTCAAAACGAGATTATCATTTTCCTTGTGATTTGGTATATACACACAGTTGAATGTCAAATTTTATGAAGATCGGACAAAAAATATGGAAGTTATTAAACATTAAATTTCTGCCGCTGCTTAAGTTGGCCGATTATCAGTTTGAGTTTGTGTTGTGCATAAAAGCATCTATTAGTACATACATAAGCATTATGGAACTCGTATTTGGCTATATATTATAATTTGAAGAATTTAAAGCGTGGTCCTATATTTGTTGACTAAGGATTACAGGGGGGTACAGAGTCGAGCACTGTCGACTACAGCGCTCTTAGTTTTTTTTTTTTACCCTGAACCCATTGAAAATGGGTAAAAGGGGTATAATGTCTTTGTGTATGTAACAGGCAGAAGGAAGCATCTCCGACCCCATTAAGTATATATATTCTTGATCAGCATCAATAGTCGAGTCGATCTAGCCATGGCTGTCTGTCTGTCCGTTTGTCCGACCGTCTGTCCGTCCGTCCGTCCGTCCGTTGGTCCAAGTCAAGTATCTTTTTATTTATACCTATGACCACCTCCCCGCTACTACGTAATAGCTATAAATCAAGTAAGTTATCCAATTTAGTCTACCCACCAATATAAGCCACAATTTAAATGCAATTGTATTCCGAGAATACACCATTATTTTATAGTACAATAATTTCTACTGCTGAAAATTTCATCAAGATCGGTTAAGAAACAAAAAAGAAAATGTGTTTTGGCTGACCAAGTGTTTGCGGAGGCTAGCGCAAATGCCAAGAGTTTCTGTATACATGTACACTCACACATTCATGCGCGTCTGTTTCGAATTCTATTAACATCATTGCAATTGCGATTGTATTGTTTTCTGTGCTGTTATTTTAATTCGTATTTTCCTCATTAAGAATTAATAATTGGTGTGGCTGTTGAGCGAGTTCGAACCCTGCCAAGGGAGCTATTTTTGTTTTGAATTTATCTTTATTACTACTTAAGCAAACGAGCGCGTAGCGAGAGCTGCATTTGTTGTTGGAATAAGAGGGTTCAGGGTATCCCCGACTAGAACCTCGTACTTTTTTTGTTTTAATATTTTTGAAGTTTTTGAAAACATATTCCAAAGTTAATTCTCTTCTTTTTATTATTAAGCATTTATTGAATTGGATCAAATATAGCGAAACAAAAGGAGAACAGCGGCGTTCTCATGCAAGTGCATGTGCTCTTATATCTACAGGCACAAGTACTGTAAAGTATTGAATTCATTTATACTATGTTATTAAGTACACAAGCTCCGTTCACTTTTGTGGCTGAACTACTTGCGCAGCATATTTATGTTGATGGTCAGTAGCAGCTTTGACCAATAGTGTTTGATTTAAGTTTGTGTTTACATTTGAATGCTCGCATATTTAAACAAGTGTTGAGTTATAGTAATAGTTAAGTAGTAAAACGGACTACGATCACTTTTAAGCACCTTAGACAGTATGATTGGGTGGAATACGCTAAAGGTCTATCAGTCAGCCAAATTATATATTCATTGCTTTAAATGCAACTGCTGACCCAAGCTATGGGATATTTACTCACATTCACATTCATGTAGAATGTGTTTCTGATGACTCGATATTGTTGGTTTTCCAATGTTTCCATGGGTGCTGAGTATGTCCCCAAGATATCCCTACTTTTTTTTCGAAGTGATTCCACTTCAGCGCGCTTAGCTTAGCATATTAACCATTCCACTAATATAAGCTGTTATTACATCTGAACACAGTATTGTATAGCTAGTTTAACCCCAATCGCACCGATTTTTGTTGTTATATTATATAGCCACAAGCAACTACATTTATTTAAAAAGACTCATGCTTTATTTATTTAAATTTTTCTTTTTGCAGCTACACAACGCGATTTAACAATCTTGTATGGCACGTACAACAGTTATGTTACTATGCATTTTTCTGAAGGAAATGAATTTCGTCTATCGGGCGTACTAAGTTTCATCGAGTTTCTCACATCGAATGGTTTGTTTGATCTCAATTGGCGCTATGCCATAATTCATTTTCGTTTTTTTTTTTACTATCTATTCAATAAAGGAGATATAGAGATAAAGTTTGTTCAAATATAACAGACAAGAGAAGCATTTACGGCGCTATAATTTGATTTAAAATTGGGAATGTATGGTTCTATGCAAGATTACTTTTTTTTTGGGAGATAAGGAGCCTAAAATAAAGAAAATCCTTTTTTATTGGTTTACTTCTATAACGTTAACTCCATATATGTCTACGAATTTAAATGAGATTAAAAAACAAAAAGTTTTCAATACAAGAACTTAGTTTTCGGCCAATCATTTCTGTGGCAGCTATATGATATAGTGGTCCGATATTTATAAGATTTATCATATATACGAGGAACATAGTTAAACTAATAAATGCCGAGCTTTATCAAGATTTCTTCATAAAAAAAGGTTTCACTACAAGAACCTTCTTTTCAACCGATGGCAGCTATACGATATAGTGGACCGATCCGGTCGGTTCTGACATGGGTACTGCCTGCAATAGAAAATCGGACACATACAACGTTTCAAGACGATTGCTTAAAACAGACTAGCTCGCACGGAAATAAACTGACAGACGGATATAGCTATATGAATTTGGCTGTTGATGCTGTTCTAGAATATGTATATATTAGGTGGACGGCGATGTCTCGTTCTATGCGTTACACATATCATGACGAAATATGTAGCTACGGTTGACAAACCTTGTGAATAACTTGGATCGTTTCCATAATAATCGATATTTATTTCTATGATAATTGATATTGAAATCCGGTTTTTGGAGCCTATCTCGCTAGTTGCAAGAGCTTGGGCCTTCAAATTTAGATACCGTCCTCCCAACCCGCAAAGTCAAATAAATCAGAATTTAGGTTGGATCTATACAACTGTTTTGTCAAATTTAAATCTTTTAAATATATTTGACTTATGTACACTACACCAGAAGACGCATGTCAAATTTTGATTGGCTCGACCATTGAATTTGATCAAGAATATATTCTTTATGAGGTCGGAGATGGTTCTTTCTGCCTTATACATACAGATGTTGAAAATTAGTTAACCTTTTTAACTATTTTCAATGGGTTCAGGGTATAACAAAGACATTTGACAAAAGACAATATATTTGTTAAGAGAAGAATAATGTGGAACATAGTTTATGTAGGAAGCGTATTGTATCAAACAATTAAATTTAAAATAAACTTTCGAAAAGAATAAGAATTTAAATTATTTTATTTTTTTATTTTACATTAGATTTCTTAAACCATGCCTGCGATGTAATTTTTGTGTTGCAAAGTTCTGACTACTTTTTCGCGAAATACGACCCATTAAACAAAGATGTTTTTGTAAGGATATTAAATACAATTCAGCAAATTATGGAACGTTACATTGAGACTATGTAAGTAAAGTACCCAATATGAATTTTTGATTAATAAGTTTTTATGAACTTGGAAATATATCTACTTTTTCAGTTTTAGTAATTGCGGTTTGGATGTAAATCCGAACTATCCCAAAATGCTATTGGGAATAGCCTGGCACATTCTAAGCAATATAGGTGTTTATTCGGACTTATTTAGAGATGATATCGAAATGCATAGTACACTCGTGGAATATTTTACGCAGTATTATAAATGGAAGAAAATAATTAATTCTAACCTTACGATGTCAATGTCATTGCAAAAATTTTTAAATACTACTTAGTTTTTTTTATAAGATACAAAGTACAGATATAAAAGTAGTTATGATGAACCATAGCGCAACTAAAGAAAAATATGATTAAACAAATATACACAAAAAGGAGTCCTCTAATTGAAAAGAAGTGGTCGCAAGTATTATCTTCCTAATACTCAGTAGTGCTGACGGAGGCAATCGACAACAGGTTTAAGTACGTTTTCGAACTGACAATAAAAGAGAATTATCGTTGTTGGTTTGGTCGTTAGCCTTTCACATATGCGTTAAAGCACCTCGGCGACACAACTATAATTATCCTTTTTAGTTCTTATGCCGTTGTCGCCGCTTTTGTTGCGATGAAAACATAAATAAAAATCTTCCGCCTGAAAGATTGAGGGATCAAAAAGTTGCACGAAGACCAGTGTTCGTTCAGAGCAGCAACAATAGAGGGCATTTTAAGAGTGTGACATAATATGGGATTTTTCTTAGTTTACACACATATCACCTAAACTGAACTCGTTTGAGCCTTTTTCGTTAATGGTTCACACGAGTGTTAAAAATTAATTACAATAAAGTTTAAGTGAATAATTATATTAGTAAACTATCGGGTATTCCACGTCCTTGCCCTAGCAAGTTTTGTTATTTAAATTTTATATATAACTACAACGTTTGCTCCTGGAAAGTTTAAATTTACCTGTAATATATCGAACTCCGCGTTTAATGTAAAATGCTACATAGATATTTTATAATGAGTTTGAAGTCCATTTGACGGTAAATAAAAAAATTGCAAATTTCTCACCAAATTTCCTCAGTTGCGGATGGAGAAATTTTATTAATGGGCGAGAAATTTCAGAGGAGAAAACGTTGTAAAAGCTATTATAATTTAGGAATAGTACACAACTACAAGAGTTGTGCATAGCGTAATTTTTTGTGCACTTAGGTAGGAAAAGAGGGTGATAATTCCTGGTGGGTCTTAAGGCAGCAGAGAATTGAAGACGAAACTGCGAATACCAGATACATAAGCAGTACTCAAGAATTGAGCTCACAAGCGAGATGTACTGAATTTTCATTATGAAGGGGTCTTTACACTACTTAGACCAACCTTTAATGAATTCAAGTACACCTTTGGCCTCATTAAAAATGTGTGTTAAAAAGAACCCCCAGGTCGTTAAATGTCAGTATACGTTGCAATTGAGTATTTTTGATTGTAAGACTGACAAGATAAGACCTAGTGGGATTAAAAAACCTAAACTACACTTTGTACAATATATTGGTCAATCACCAAAGTTGCATAGATTTCAAAACATCTTGTAGTTTCAACCCATCTTGTGTTAGTTTCACACCATCTTCTCTACATGTAAAACTATTTGTCCTGACTGCCTGATTGCTGATCAACGCACAGCCCAACCCGTAAGAGCTAGGAAGCTGAAATTTTTACTGTAGTTACCTTATGTGATGGAGATGCGGCAAGGGAGCGTATTGGGAATGAAACTTTTTTGTTTACTATCCAATACCTCAAACTCACTTTAAAGGATCTTTGTTCAAATCCATTTGAGGGCTGTTTTCTCGAAATTCACCGTTCATGGATAAGAAATGCTGGCCAAGGAAACGTAAAGTGTACACAAATTTAGAAAATTTCATTATTTGGATACCTCCCTCGTAACACCAAAATTGAAAAAAATGAAATGAATCCCGCATTTTCAGAGGTATAATCTTGTGCTTCGATGTTTGCACAGACATGGATATATAATTCAGGGAAAGTAAAAAAAATACGATTGCGACTGTTATAACCTTTTAAGCGAACAAGTTAAATTAAAGAACAAGTAAAAATAAAACAACTAAAAGGTTTTAGTCGGGAGCTCCCGACTAGGGGATACCTTGAACCCTCTTATTCCAACAAGCGATAGGTATAAAATGAAAGGTACTTGATATATATATACTATTCTAGAAGCTACATGTCAAGTTTGGTGACTCTAGCTCATATTATTTACCGAAATTGCCAAAAAAAACCGGATTTCGATATCGATTTTTATCGATTACTTGGAAACGGGGCATTTATCGAATATCGGAAACAAACTCGACCTGCGCGGGTACTAGAAGGACCTTCAGCTAAAATTTCTAGCTCTTATAGGGTCTGAGATCCTTGCGTTCATACATACGGACAGACGGACAGACAGACGGACATGGCTAGATCGACTCGGCTGTTGATGCTGATCAAGAATATATATACTTTATGGGGTCGGAAATGCTTCCTTCTACCTGTTACATAATACCCTTTTTACCCATTTTCAATGGGTTCAGGGTATACAAAAATATAAGGACTTCACTTTGGTATTTATTAGTTTCATTATGATCCTTATATATAAGAATAATTATAATAACATCCGGCAAAGTCCAAATTTAGTTTGTAGTATATACAACAAATTTATGTTTTACATAATATATTGACTTGATTTGGTATTTATTGATTTCAAAAGGCTTATACAATAAATAAAAATCTGAAAACGAAACGATCTGACAATAAACACCGAAGTTAAACGAACGAGTTTTCCTAGTGTAAGACTAAGGAAAGAATAAATATAGCATATAAAAGTTTGTTTTTGGAAATGTAGTATAAATTAAAGCAAAAATATTTATATACATAGGTACATCGGCGCGGAGCTCAGGATATCGTCTAGTCGGGCATTTCCTATATAGATGTTGTAATTAATAACAATAAAACTCTTTAGTTACTAAATTTCTATGTCTATGTCTCTTTTCGGCTGATTTTGACTTAAAAATGATTTACTATGACTGCGTAGTTTGTTCTTATTTATTTGTTTTCGAGGTCAACAATGAGTCGTCAGATTTGTTTGCCCGTTTATTTGTTTTGTTTGATTTGTTTTCCCATTTAACCTATCACTTACATCTTTTTGTCAAAAAGTAATAAAATGTTTCTTGGCTTAACTATGTACCCATTGTAAATAGGAAAAATTGGGTATATTGGTTTTGTGCAAATGCTTGCCACAGACAGAAGCATCTCACACTCTGACTAGTCAAGTCGATGTAGCCATATCCGTCTTCCATGTCTGCCTAGTCATATGAACGCGTCGATAACAGAATAATTAGCAGCTAAAATCAAATCCTGATCGTAGGCTTCCTACGGCCCGCGTGTGTGTGCTTGTGCTTTTTGGTTATGTTTGTATGAATGGAAGTTGGAATGCTTGTAACGGTATCTCCTAGTCGGGCACTCCCGATTAGATCACTCTTACTATCTTTATAACATCTCAATTTTCTTCGTTTTTCAAAATTTCACTCACATACATATCGCACAATTTCACTTAAGGTGAACGACATCGTTTTTATTATTTTTTTTTTTAGCTATCATGTGTAGGTATCTTCGTATTTGTATATCTAAGCTAAAATATTTACAACGGTATCTCCTAGTCAGTCACTTGCGACTATATCACACTTAGTAGTTTAAAGTAAATAGCCTTTCAAGTTTAGTGGTAGTTTATTGAAAATTTCCACATATGCCATACCTTTTTTAACCAACTTATTTGGACTTACTGCTCAATTTTATATAAGTAGAACGTTATGCTTTCTTTATTTTTTTTATCGTATCATCACCTTTTTTTATCGTATCATCACCTTGTATTTAGAACTTCAATTCTAATCTGAATGTATCATGGAATTTTCATAGGGCACAATCAACGATCAACGATACGCCATCGAATGGGTGAACAAACATACTGGAATACAAGTTACTAAATTTTGGGGCTAGCTTCATAGTATCTTTAATTCGGGCAATCTTGTAATATATAAATATGCATTGAAAATATTTTTTTATCTATTAAGCCCATGAAATGCGGAAAGAATTGCAAAGTATAAACGACACGAAGTGAAAGTGCTATATTCTGGTGTAGGTAATGGTCTACAAGCTTTCAAGTACTTGTTATCTTTTTTCTGGAAATCAAGCAGGTCGTTTAATCTTTGCCATCAAATTAAGAATTTATCGCGTGCGTGCTTTACTATGCGGAAGATACTATTATGTGCATGACACGAATGTTGGGACTTGATGATCGTGCGAAAACTCAAAACATTAGCCGATGATGCGGCCTATATATGCAGAGCTCTGGTGAAAGTGCATCATAATTGGCTTGACTTGATAACAATGAGAGTATTCACTGCGGTTGTTGGTCTGTTTTTACTGGTGATCAGCGCATCAAAGGCGGACAACTATCATAAAGGTTGCCCGTTTAGTCAATTGGATGCGTTGAATTTTGATACCTTGGGATCAGCGCAGGAATCCGCTGGTAGAAAGAAGAGAAACAGCGATCCGTATGATGTGCGGTCTACCGCGAGTGCGGATCATAACCTGGACGATCTACTCAAAAGCATTTTGCCCAAGTACAGCATCAATTCTGGACCCAGTAGTTGGATGAACTTAGGGGCAGATGAAAAGCGATCTCTAGAGCTAATTAAGTGTGGCATACCACCACGGAACTGCTTAAATGATACACATAATTTGCATTATCGCAGCATAGATGGCGCATGTAATAATTTGCTGTATCCAGAGTTTGGTATCGCCACATCAAGGTACCAACGGCTTTTGCGCCCTACCTATATGGAGCATGGACAAACAGTTCCCAACGCACGACTTATTTCGCTCTCAATTTTCGGCGAGGATACTTTGACGGACAAGTTTCGCACGGTGGCTTCTATGCAGTGGGGTCAGTTCGTTGCACACGACATCAGCCAGCTGACTACAAAGGGAGCGCCCAAAGACTGCTGCGCCGAATCTCGTCATCCACAGTGCCAACCCATCACACTAGCAACAGGTGGACCCATCGCCTTTAATTCAGGGAAATCCTGTCTCAGCTTTGCTCGTGGTGTATCCGACGCGGAGGCCATTTGCCCAAAGAGTGGCCTTTCTTATAGCGAGAAGCTGTCTGTGGTAACAGCCTTTTTGGATCTGTCATCACTTTATGGCAATTCGCAAGCACAGAATCGACGAGTGCGTCTTTTCAAAGGTGGCCAGCTCATTACGAGTTACATCAACAACCAACAGTGGTTGCCTGTCAGTCAAAATCGT